GATTGTCAGATCGATGCGTTCTCCATCCTTCGTAATCATGAAAGGCATCTGAGCAGATGGCCATACAAAGGAGTATCCTTCTTCCATGCATCGTTTCCCAAGAGACATCACAGACGGAGTGTCGTCCAGTACATAAGCATGAGATGTCATATCAAAGGTTCCCAGGTCAATCTCCGCTTCCGTTTGAGTAGCAGTTGAACCATTGGCAGTGTGGAACATGATAAGATCACAAGTTCGTTGCTTCAAGTTCATCCTTTCGGCCTTCCTTGCAGAAATCAGGTCGTGTCCGCTACCAGAGTCCAGGATGAATCTTCGATCTTTGGCTTGTACTGGTAATGAAATGCACATCATATTCTTGGACTTCATGAAGGATTTTCCAGCTTCATGTTCAACAAGTTCTTCAACAAAAGTCAAGTCCTCATGATCATCATCCAGTTTGATCAACATGTCGAACTTGGGGCCAATGATGATTCTAACTTCATCAACAAAACGATGAGGTCCGCATCTATCCATGATGATATCCTTGGCCCGTGCTCGGACTGATCCGAGGGTGTTGTCGGACTTGGACTGATCATCGGTCAAATCATCGATCTTCCAGAAGACATATTGCTTGTTGGGATCACGATACATGCGTTTGGGTAATCCCTCCTGGTAGTTCTCTATGGCAATCTCGTGCACTTCAGGTTCCAGCTCAAATGAGATCCTGCGAACATCAGAAGACTTCTTTGCGCTGGCTATCCTCGGTGAGGTATAATCCAGAGAGTCTTCATTGTCGCTATCAAAGAAGGAATCAATGGTAATGGGAGTTGCCTTCTTCTTTGGTGTCTTCTTGCTGGTCTTCTCTGATGATGCTGAAGGCGATTGGTCTGCATGTAGGAATTTACATTTATTCCCAAACGTGCAGGTACCCTTCTGCCAATTCCAACATATCTTCTTTTTGGGTCCAGCTGAAGATGAACTTCCTTTACTTTTCCCTCTTGATGAATCTCGACTTCCGCTTCTGCCTTTCTTACCTTTCATCTTGGCATCATATACCTTCTGAGAATGACTGTAAAGACATTTGTCACCTTTGTTGCATCCTCCTTTATTGAAGAAGTAATTGCAGAAAATCTTCTTCTTGTCAACGGGTGAAGATGATCTCCCCTTCCCACCTTTGCCTTTCTTGTTGTTCTTGTCGGCATGAGATTTCGGAGAAGGTGTTGGGAGTACTGATGCAGCTTCACTCTTCGCCTTTGCTTTAGGTCGCTTGGGAGGATCACCTGTGGACGATGCAGCTGCTTCATTCTCCTTCTTGGTCTTAATGGGAGCAGCAGGCTTGTCTGCATCTTCCAGGGCAGGTGTTGTCTTGTTAGAGGACAATGACAGTTTCACTGCACGTTCTCTATCTTTCAACAGTCGTTCTTGCTTTCCTCGCGCTATGTATCCTTTGATCATACCGGTCAGGAATTCATAAGTCTTTTCAGGATGCCCTTCATCGTAGGTACGGTATCGGCTGATATCGAAAGACATAAGCTTTGAATGTTCAATCTTCCGGAACAATGTGTCACGCAGGGAATTTGCAGAAGGCAGATCATCATGTTTCATGTTGTATATGATGTCAAGCCACTTGTTGTAGAAGGCCTCGAGTTGGTCATCTCCATAGTAGTTGAACATGTATAAATGATGGGCGTTGTAGAGAACCTCAGTATGGTCAGGTGACTTGAAGCTAATCAAGACCATTGCGAATAGTTCTCGTCCCTTGATGAAGTCCCCGCTCCTCCCATACATTTGGTTCTTCATGGACATATCATACTTCACTTGCATGGATTTGTCCCCAGCATTGTCAATGACTTTCCTCAAGGCATTGGAGAGCTTGGCATCAATGGATTGGAATCTCACATCAGGTGCTTTGGCCAGAGCCTCCAAGTCAGGTTGATCTACAAGACACGGAGCTAGCCACGCTTTCCAATCTTCATAGTTTCGATCTCCACTTGCAACACAAACTTCATGAACGACACTTCCCTTCCAGGATGAAAGTTCAGTGGTTTTGGGCCAAGGTTGGAGATTGATCTTTTCGGCTTCCCTTAGAGATACGGATGACTTAGATCTATCCTTCTCAAGGTTCTCCAACTCCTTGACATTGGTGTTATACTCGTTTCTGAGCTTCTCGAAGGCTTCAGCTTCTGCTCGGTATTCCTGCTCTTCATCGTTGGCACGATCTTCAGCTTGAGAGAAGTTGTTCTTGTAGTAATCTTTCCGATCTTCCATCTTCTTTAAGTCATCTTGAAGACTTCGAACTTCAGCGTTCCTCTCTTGCTTCATCTCGTCCAATTCTGCTTTCAGTTTGGCACACTTCTCTTCACATTCATTCCGAGGCATGGCATTACTGGGGTACCCAAGTAATGAAGCCGGTCTGTTCAGTGATGAAGAAGAATAAGCTTGGTTTTCCAATTTCAGGGCAGCAATGGTGCTCGACATCTCCTCTACTTCGGCGAAACGTTCACTAGCCAATTGATGCATCTCAGTCAAGTGGCTCTCAGGAATGGAATAGTCACTCGCACCTTTGATCACGAGTCTCCTGTCGTTTAACATCTTGATGGAGCGGCCTGCATCCCTGTGAGCGCGTTCAAGAGAATCCTTTTGGGTTTCAATTTCATTATGAAGGCGAGCAATAGCTATATCCCTGTCATTGATTTCATTGTGCAGATCATCGAACAAGTTACTCGTCACATTCGGATTGTTGCTCATGTGATCGATCTTGTTCAGAGCATCTTGATATTTCTTACCAGTTTCATCGAAATGTTTCTGGAATGTTTTGAGCAGGTTCTCAGTGTCAATGAGTTCAGCCCTGTTTTGTAAGTACAACTTGTCAACTTCAGCCTTGGATTCCTTCAGGCTGTCACGTTCGCGTACAGCCTGCATGTACATCTCATAATGTAATCCTCCATGCGGTGATCTGCTCGGCGAGGATCTTCTGGCTTGTTGACATGAAAGTTCATGATATTGATTCTTCGATTCAGTCAGTTGATGTTGCATTCGATCTAAAAGGCTTTGTTTCATATGTAGTTCCGAACGTAGTCCCATTATCCTCATGTCCCGCATGCCACTTGATTCAGCTAGAGATTCTTCAGAAACCTTGCTCTCAGAAGTCACTAGTCGAGATTGTAAGTTCTCATTGTGAATCACCTGCAATCGAAGTTGTGATTCCTCCAAAGCTAAATGATGTTCACATTCTGCATAACGGTCATGTTCAGATCTTATGTTACTACGGAACTCTTTCATGATCTCGTCCCTCTTCGTGTCAGCAGCATCGAGCTCAGTTTCCAGTCGTCTAACATTCATAGACATGGTGTGCTTCATCGTCTGGTTCTGATTGGCAACCTCGAGCATCTCGATCTGTAAAGCACATGTCTGGTCGTTAGCATAGCCGACCGCCAGAGCTTCTTGCTTTGCGTTCATCTCTGCGTTTTCTAATTCCAGTCGGAGTTGATTGGTGTGAGCATTCGCATCAGCGCCCACATGTACCATAATAGCGTTAGCTTGTCCCATTTGTTCATTGAATTCCGAACGTAGTTGTGAATATCTAAATTCCAAATGAGATGCAGCTTCATTCGACATAGTCTGATACCTCTCCAACTCTTCGATCCTGTAGGTTGCACCTTCGTCTTCTTGTTGTGCAGCCTGTAACTCAAAGTTCAGCATCTGGAGTTGTTCAGTCATCGACATCATCTCTTGATGAGTGGTGCTTTCCAGGAAATTAAATTGTTGATAGGCATATGCAGCCGTCTCAGTCAATCTTGCCTGAAGTACGGATTCTTCTTCAGTAGCCTTTTCCAGTGATGCCTTGTATTCCGCTAATTCGCTCTGATAGGCAGTGAAGATGTCGCTACCACTTGATGGGGCATTCACTCGTTGATAAGATCCTGTCCCTGATGGAGTAGCGTCCTGAATCGGTGAAGGCGGATTCGACGATGTAGGCTTTGCCTTAGTCCTTGGAGTCATCGGAGGCGACAATTGTCGTGCAGATGATCTTCTCTTTCCAGGTGTGCTGTCCCTATCTTCAATTGCTTGCATTGTCGAAATCTGTCTCCCTCTAGGAGCAACCAGAGGTCGTCTGGGTAGGCTTGGTCTCAGTTCTGAGGTTTCGCGCCCACCAGTGTCGATACTCTGTGAAGAATTTGACTGCGTGCCGGCAGCTGGTGCAACGGCATGTCCAGAGAAAGAAAATGCGTTATCGCTGCTATCCTGTTCAGTCATCTGTAAGGTCCGCGGCTACCCGCTCGTAGGCTCCGTAGGAGTCCTACGGCTGATAACCTGTGAATCGGAGGTTCCTTCCCCGATTATGTACTTTGGTCAGTTGTTGTTGCAATGTGCTTTCACTTATGACGAACGGGGTCGCAACTTCGGCATGGAACTCTTTTCTCACGGAATCCTGCAGTTTGGGCGTCTTGAGCCAAAGGGAGCGACAGTTGTGTCCCCCTGGCTTTGGAATGATCAAAGTTATGTACATGGGAATACTTGTAGTATTGGGGCCTAGTTCCCATTCGCAATAATCATAAATATATATATATATAATTGTATTATGGGTTTTTCTAATGCTAGTATCATGGGTATTCCGCCACCCCGACAAAGGTACCAAAGGTATAAACCCCCCCTATGAGAGATGCTAGTATCATGGGTATTCCGACACCCCGACAAAGGTACCAAAGGTATAAAAACCCCCTATGAGAGATGGTCAATAAACTCTTGATGGTTGCTGGTGATACACCCAACAGAAGGAATTCTCCACCACCAGGGTAGCAAACTGGGGGTTTGAATCCCCATATATATATAATATATATATGTGTGTGTGTGCGTGTGTGTGTATATATAGAAAAAGGTTATATCATGCAGAATCATGACCCTCCAGATTTATGTGCTATAAATATATATATATATATAAATCGCCATTTGTTGGGTATGATAAACTCATGGGAATTCTCCAAGACTTCTCCAGCCGCACAGGCATTTGGAAGCACATCCTGCAGAAGTGGGATAGCAGCCTGCCAGCCCGTGCAGCTCAGTGCTGTGCCATAGCTCACCACACTGGGAAGTACCTGGGGGGCGCCAAAACACCTGGATATGGTGAGATTCCATGGTACATTTCTGGGATGTCCCAATCTGGGTGCCCAAGATTCTTCAACTCTTGAGTTTAAGGGCTTTGGGTAACTTTTTAGAGATAGCCAAAGATAGCCAAAATATATGCTGGAATAGTCTAAATCTGTTGGTTGTAGTTCTACCACCTCCTAATCCCATCGCCAATTCACATTAAACTTATTGAATAGGCTATGGTCCCAGTCATCTGTGCCTTCATCTTTGCCCCAAAAAAACATGGTGACTCTGGAGGCGGGATTATCTTTGATTATAAACCTACAAAATCTACATTCACTATAGTTATCTCCCCCCCAAAAAAACATAGTTAACCAAGATAAGCCATAGTTGACCCAGTAAGAACCATAGTTAAACCATAGTAAACCAAGATAAACCACATTAGTAAACTATAGTAACTGCCATAGGTGAACCCCAAGATCGCGGCTGTGCCAAGCTGCAGCCGTGACTGGAAACCCGGCTAAGAGCTCCAGCGCCATCGGCCAGTGATGCTCCACGGCCTTCATCGCAGCGTTGCGGCTGATGGCATCAGGCTGCACACCTGGTGAGACATCCAGAGGCGTTTTTTTCGGGGGGGAAAAGAGTGGGGCAAAAGGAAACCATTTGACATTTTTGGTGGATGTGTTTTGTTGGGCTTAATGGTTTTTGCAGTACTTCTTTTTGTCACCATCACTATTATCAATTGTAAACCTTGGGTAATTTTTAGGATGATTTCCCAAACTGTCCTTGCTAATAATGTGAGGTAGCTATAAGCTTGCTCAGTTAGCTATAGACTATAGATTTATGATTGGATGCATGCTTCTCTCACTGCATATATTTGCAATATTTTATTTATATTCCTCCCTCCCTCCCTCCCTCCCTCCCTCCCTCCCTCCTTCCCTCTCATCTCTCTCCCTCTCTATCTCTCTCTCTCTCTCTATCTATCTATCTCTCTCTCTCTCTCTCTCCATCAACACCATCAACACCATCAACACAAGGCATTTATATACTGACATTATATATATAATCTAAACAAACACACACACACACACACAGAGGCAAACATCTATATAATCATACAGTCTAAATACAAAATCAGAAAAATAGCTTAAATTGATACTGTACATAATTTTTGAACTATTTAGAAATATATTATAACCCCATAAGTTCCCACCATTGCCCCCATCCAGGCCTTGCTCCGGCATTTCGCCAAAGCTCCATAGCGAGAGGCGCCAGTGGCGCCAGTCGTCCGCCAGGCGGCTGAGACACGTGTTGTGGCTGACGATGTCGGACATGCCTCGGGTAATGAGAGTAGCCGACTTCCAATGGACCTGTGGAAACCAAAAGTGATAACTGGTAGACGATACCTTCTTGATATTCTATATATGATATGTATATATACACATCATGATATATATATATATATAGTGTGTGTGTGTGTGTGTGTGTGTGTGTGTGCATGTGTGTCAACATATGTAATAGTGCTACGTATATCTATGAGTAAATTTATCTCCATGTTTATAAATATATATATATATATAATATACACATGCACATGCATAAATATGATGATGATACGTGAAGAGTCTTAGAGATTGTTGATGGGTTTCCCTGTGGATGGGAGGTCTCCAATGCATCTGGCCAACAAAAAATCGGAGATGGATCAAACACCAGCCCGCTAAAATGATTGGATAAAACATGACACCACCAACCAACCTTGATTTGATAATTATATCATATAATATATATATATATATACATATGATATGATATGATATGATATGCTATGCTATGATATGATATGATATGTACACACATGCCATCCCAATTTCAATAGTCAAGTCCGATGTTTTTTTTCTTGCTTACACCACCCTTCCACATCCCAAGTCTGGCCGGTGAATTCATCACTGAAGCCACCAGCGGGTTCAGCGGAGTCACCTCGCTCCACAGCTTCCGAACAGAAGGTCAGAGCTACAGACCACTCCAGGCAGCTGAGCGTACTGTTGTAGCCTGAGTTATGGAGTTATGGGCCCATGGTTGAATGGTAAAAGAGGGGAATACGAAATAGGGGTAGCAATGGTTTAACATGGTTTAATAGGGTTTGATAGGGTTTAATGTGGTTTCATATGGTTGAGTACCCTGTAAATGGCTATGAATAAAGAAATTTGCTAGCAAAAATCGGTGAGATTGATGAATATTGAACAATACTGAATATTGGCCAATATTGGTGGATACTAATGTCATGGGCCTTCAGTCAACCTATAGATGGCGAGCCAGGGGCCCCAAGACACGGGACTTTGATTTCCAGAGGTTCAAGGGGAAACCATACATTAGACAGTCAAATACAGCAAAAACAATGGTTTCTGCAGTACGTTTTCCCTTTTTACGCAGGGGAACTTTGAGATGCCATCCCTTGACCAAGTGGCAAGTAACATCTGCTTGCAGACCCACTTCCATCAAAGCTTGAAAGCTCCTTCTTTCCGCTGGCTTGCTTTCAACAACTGAGGTATACGGTTTTTCGGGACCTGGGGACCCCAGTTGGCAGCCAATTTTTTGAGGTCGAATTTTCTTGGGGATGACCCATACTTTATAACCTCTTGGATGTTGTGAAAGCCCAGTCTATAGAGTCAGCCTGAATTCACCAGGTAAGTCCACAGTTTCATCCACGGCTTCTCCTCAATGTTCGTTGCCATCCACCCCCTTTGCAGCTGCTGCTGCCCACCACGTCCGTTTCAATGTGGGCACCTTGCGGCTGGCTTGCCCAGTAAATGTAGGGCCTTTCAACTTGGTTCAACCGTCATTTTTCTCATCCAATTCTTGGGGATTATTTAAGGTTTTGTTAATCATCCCAGTGGAGGGTCACCTGGGGTTATACTTCGGTCATCCGGTCATCCCCAAGCTCAAGCCAGTTCTTCCCCGTTCTCACCTGGCATCGAATGTAAGATTTGCAGTGCTCGTTGCCAATGGTGGCGTTCACATGTCGTGATGGTGGCGTTGTAGCTGATCACATCATGCTGGATCCTGTCGGTCCAAACGGGTGGCTCCCCCCAAAAATGGTCAAAGAATGGGGTAGAGGTGTCTGAAAATGTGGTCGGCATCCTCCAAAATCCATCAATTTGAATCAAAACCCAACGGTGTATCAGTGTATCGCACCTTCTGTAGAAGTCATATATATATATCAGATCCATGTCATGCTTGCCATGTTTGATTACCCCAAACGGTATATTATGCTATATTCCAATTGTATGTCTTCTTATTTTTCTCCCTTTAAGAAATCTCGATACCCCTCCTATAAAATCTGGTTGGTGGTTTTAACCATTTTGAAAAAGATGAGTTCGTCAAGTCAATGGGAAGATCGGATTATCCCCAATATATTATGGAAAATAAAAATGTTCCAAACCAGCAACCAGATAAATACGTATGATTAGTGGTTAACAACCATCAAGTTTGTTAAACCTATGATTAACTAATAGGAATGGTTAAATTCATAATCATTAATTTATAGCTATGAATCCCCATTGTATACATTCCATTGTTAATAATCATTGGTAAATAATAATCATTGTTAATGGTAATTTATTGAATTACATTGATAATTAACCTATGGTCATATTAATGGGGAATCTAATCAATGATTTAATGGTAATGTCAACCCTGGATTAATAAACCCCAAACGGCTGTTTAATTGGGGGGATACCATTTAAGTATCAGATGAAATGACTATGACTGGGGAGTACCCCCTTAATTTTCATAAACCATGGTTTAGCAAAATCCGGGGTTGACATAAAAATGATCATTAATGATAACTAACCGTTAATGATAACTAATCATTCATGACCATTGATGCCATTCATTAACATTAATTGTGGTTAATGATGGTTCATCATGTGGGAAACCAACTGCCATAAACCAACCCATTCATACCTATAAACCAACCATGGGGGATGGCTCATACCACCCATAATGGTTATGATGAATAATGGTATATGAATAGTGGTATATCATATAGTTATACCAGAAAATAATACCATGATAATAATACCATTATAATAAAATTAATGATAATGGTTATGATGAACATTAAAACCATGGTTTAGCAAAATCCGGGGTTGACATTAATGATCATTAATGATAATTAATCATTCATGACCATTGATGCCATTCATTGACATTAATTGTGGTTAATGATTGTTCATAATGTGGGAAACCAACTGCCATAAACCAACCCATTCATACCTATAAACCAACCATGGGGGATGGCTCATACCACCCATAATGGTTATGATGAATAATGGTATATGAATAGTGGTATATCATATAGTTATACCAGAAAATAATACCATGATAATAATACCATTATAATAAAATTAATGATAATGGTTATGAAGTTATGATGAACATTAAAACCATGGTTTAGCAAAATCCGGGGTTGACATAAAAATGATCATTAATGATAATTAATCATTCATGACCATTGATGCCATTCATTGACATTAATTGTGGTTAATGATTGTTCATAATGTGGGAAACCAACTGCCATAAACTAACCCATTCATACCTATAAACCAACCATGGGGGATGGCTCATACCACCCATAATGGTTATGATGAATAATGGTATATGAATAGTGGTATATCATATAGTTATACCAGAAAATAATACCATGATAATAATACCATTATAATAAAATTAATGATAATGGTTATGATGAACATTAAAACCATGGTTTAGCAAAATCCGGGGTTGACATAAAAATGATCATTAATGATAATTAATCATTCACGACCATTGATGCCATTCATTGACATTAATTGTGGTTAATGATTGTTCATAATGTGGGAAACCAACTGCCATAAACCAACCCATTCATACCTATAAACCAACCATGGGGGATGGCTCATACCACCCATAATGGTTATGATGAATAATGGTATATGAATAGTGGTATATCATATAGTTATACCAGAAAATAATACCATGATAATAATACCATTATAATAAAATTAATGATAATGGTTATGAAGTTATGATGAACATTAAAACCATGGTTTAGCAAAATCCGGGGTTGACATAAAAATGATCATTAATGATAATTAATCATTCATGACCATTGATGCCATTCATTAATGATAATGGTTATGAAGTTATGATGAACATTAAAACATATTAAAACCCATTGAATCAAATTGAATCCCTATGACCTCATCGTTGGCATCGCGGCCGCCAGCAGCACTGCTTCCCTCCAATGCTGTCTCCGGCCATCAGCAGTGATGGCCCGGGTGCAAGCGCCTGCCATGGGGAGAAATCCCAATGTTTCGGTAGAAGATCTATGGAAGATCATGGAAACATATGGAAAAACAGCATGGATACAACCATTTATGGTTGAGTTTGGGGAGAGTTTCACTTTGATGACCAACATCAATGCGGGATTTGTTGGATATAATATGATATAATTGGACTACAATTCTTAGATATTCATGAGATAATTCTTATCTGGTACCCTCTGGTGTCAAACATGGCTGGAAAATACCCGAAAATCGTCCGGCTTCACGGCTTCACATGCAGAATTTCACGGAATTCCTGCTAAGCGAGGTTGGTATCAATGAAAATCAAAAGAAGTGCTGGAACAGAAAAACATAGAAAAACACTGTTTGGGTTTTGTGTAATTGGACACGAAGGAAGAAACTTGAAACTCTCCAGCTAAAGTTACGACACAACATGATGAAACCAACGAAAGGAAGATGCAAAATATGGGCAAGCATATCTATAGGCTTGGATTTTTGTTGCATGTTCAAAGGTCTCAGCAAGAACCCTTGTGGAGAATCCACAGGGATTCTATGGGAACTTGACTGAGCAAGAAAGTCATGATAGAAATCGCGAAAAAGACTTTGGCTTGGCCATTTTCGGCAGACAGGGCAACAGGCATTGAGTATGGATACCCTGTGATCAAACCTTCAATGTCCAGGTGATGTTCCCTTAAAACCTCCATTTATTATAATAATTGGTTGGTGCATGTTGGTGGTTTCAACCCCTCTGAAAAATATGAAAGTCAGTTGGGATGATTCTTCCAACATATGGAAAGTCATAAAATTCATGTTCCAAACCACCCAACCAAATAATCATTTATAGGGGTTTTCCCATTGCCACGTTTGATTCCCGGAGGGTACAGATGTGGAACATCGATGGCACCTGTCGATATCTCTCTGGCGTGCGCAGGGCTCTTGATGGCCTCAGGCAAATTTGCGACCAGCGTTTAAGGGCCATGTTCGGTATTACCGTCTGGTAATCACTAACATAGCTATTGAACATGGCCATAGAAAGTGGATTTGCCCATTAAAAATTGTGATTTTCCATAGTTATGTGACAGTTTACCAGAGGGTACACTATATGACTATAGTTAGGATTAATGATTCCCCCTCATTAGTTGGGGGTTATTTATTCCGGGCTAGTCAACGTATTGGAAACACATGCCACTGAAATAAAACATGACATGTGGTTAGGAAACTCTGAGCACTGGCTCCCCATTTAAGTAGAGAATATGGACACAACATGATACAACCATCGCTCCGAATCGCTCGCTCCCTTCATCCAAGCCCAGCCACCATGGCTCATCATGGCCAGCAAGTCAGCAGCCATTGCTAGTGACGGATGATCAATTTAGGAGTTGGTGCTGTTGCTTTTGGTTGCGCGAAGAGGGTTGGTCGAAATTGGGAAAAACCCTGGATCTGGTTGGGAAAAGATGGGAACATCTGAGGACAAAAAAATGGAGACCCTGGATATGAATGTAAATCATTATGACAATGATACACTCGCCAATTCTCACCAGTGATCATCATGTCAGGTACCCTCTGGTAAACTAACATAACTATGGAAAATCACCATTTTCAATGGGTAAATCCACTATAAATGGCCATTTTCAATAGCTATGTTAGTTTACCAGAGGGTAACAAACATCGCTTGAAACCACCAGCTGTACTCTGGCTGTACTCGAAGGCGCAACGTGACGGATGAGTTGACCCTTCCGATATTTGGCCAACTGTCTGAGAATAGGGTACCATGGGTACCCCCAAACCCAATGGATTATCATCATTTTTCCTATTACCATCTGGTTATGACTAACAGTTTGCCATGGAAAGATCCACCATGCTATTAATAGGTAAACATAGGTAAACCATCTATAAATGGGCCATTTTCCATGGCTATGTTAAATAACCAGATGGTAAATAGGCCATTTAAGTGAGTCTTCGATAGTTACTACTTTCCGAGCTTGTTTATGAAGTGTTATGTAATGTTTCTTGATGGAGACATCATTGGTCTTCTGCTCTAGGCATCTAATCAATGTTTTTTGATTTCCTTCACAAAAAATGCGTGTACAAAATTCGCACAATGAGTACTGTCAACCCCGAACTATCAAATCCATTGGGCGTTTCATTGGAGGTGTGCCATTTTGATGGCAAATCATCACTATTTCAGGGAGCCACCCTACTCAATCAACCAGGGTTTACTAATCCAGGGTGCACGTGGTACCAGCATGAAGGAGAACTTCTACACACTACAAGAAATCATAGAATTGCGGAGTCCCTGTCCAGGCGCTGGGTTCATGTTCATTTTCCCAGTGCCACGGATCTAGTTCCCACGATCATTTCACAAATACCCTCTGGTAATCAAGCATGGCAATGGAGAATTCCCTACAAATGGAGGTTTAGTTCGCTGGGGAAATCATGAATCACTGGCTGATTTTCCAGCCATGTTTGATTGCACCAGAGGGTATACTGGGTATAAAGTATCCCATTAAATCTCCCATGATTCCCTGATGACCACTATTTACCAATTTACCATTGTTCAGCCGTTATATCCCATGAAAATCATGAAACACCAGCAACAATAACTCATTGAGGGTATATTCAATGGTGTTTCATGATTTTCATGTATATTCCTGGTATATACTGGTATATAACACCATATTCCAATGATCTCCTACGGCGTTTTGCAGTTCGCTGCAAGATCTGCAAGCGTCAGTGACAGCCATGGAAAAAGGCGGCGATCAAACGTGGTGGAGCTGCAGCTGTCACATGCTTACGCTTGCGAATCCCCCCCCAAAAAAAACGAAAAACGTCCAGTGATCTTCCCAATTATATCATGATATATCATGACTATATCCTATAAATCCCCTATAAATCCCCTATAAATCCCCTATAAAATCCCTATAAATCCCCTATAAATCCCCTATAAATCCCTATAAATCTCTTGTAACTCCCTATAAATCCCCTATAAAATCCCTTATGAATCCCCTTTTTGAAGTCTCTTGGAGCACATTGCTCTCCCCAAAACCCATCCCGCGCTGTGGCCTGTTAGTTCCAAGGAGTACGGACATGGAAAGGAGGGACACTGGCAGACCTCAGCTGCCGGCCCTTTTTCGGGAGTTGTTGTTTCTTGAAGGATACGAAATATACATATAATAAATATAATCAATAATAATGATAATGATAATCATATATAAGCATATAGGTGTGCAGTCCAATATATCATAATATATCATATATACAACTATAAATACTCGATTTAAGCCAGGAAAGTGGAGTTTCCCACTGATGTTTATCTCATCCTGGCCATGCAATAGGTCACTCTTGAGTATTTGTCGAGGCTTCAGCAATTCCAACTCTGCGCAAACAACAAACCAATGTAGAAAAATTACTTTACTTCGTGTGATCGCCACCATGACATTTATACATTTTGTTACTGGCAAATCTTCTGGCATTCTATCTGGCATATTTTCTGGCATTCGATCTGGCATTCTATCTGGCATATCTTCTGGCATTCTACCTGGCATATCTTCTGGCAGATGTTCTGGCATATCTTCTGGCAGATGTTCTGGCATATCTTCTGGCATATCTTCTGGCATATGTTCTGGCAATCTTCTGGCATTCCATCTGGCATTCTATCTGGCATATCTTCTGGCATATTATCTGGCAAATCTTCTGGCATTCCATCTGGCATTCTATCTAGCATATCTTCTGGCATATTATCTGGCAAATCTGCTGGCATTCTATCTGGCAAACATTCTGGCACTTTATCTGGCATATCTTCTGGCATTCTATCTGACATTCTATCTGGCATTCTATCTGGCATACCTTCTGGCATTCTATCTGGCATATCTTCTAACATTCTATCTGGCATATCTTCTGGCACTCTATGTGGCATATCTTTTGGCGTGGATACTCGCGGTTGAGGTCCGGCAGGGAACACTGGGCGTGGATGGTCGTGGTTGAGGTCCGGCAGGGAACACTGGGCGTGGATGGTCGTGGTTGAGTGTCGTGGTTGAGGTCCGGCAGGGAACACTGGGCGTGGATGGTCGTGGTTGAGGTCCGGCAGGGAACACTGTGGATCGCGGGTCGCAGTTGGACGAGGACGACGAGGACGACGAGGACGACGAGGACGACGAGGACGACAAGGACGACAAGGATGACAAGGAGGACGAGGAGGACGAGGAGGAGAGGAGGAGGAGGAGGACGAGGCAGGAGGCAGGAGGAGGCAGGAGGAGGCAGGAGGAGGCAGGAGGAGGCAGGAGGAGGCAGGAGGAGGCAACTGACATAAAATCTAACAACCCTCACCTGGCAGGTGGGGAAAAAGAACATGATATACCCCCCCCGTAAATTCACACAGATGTGGAAACCCACCATCTGTACACAATTTTCCTAGCGAAACCATGGCTTTTCCACATCTATGGTAGTTTACCCCAGGGTAACTCACAAACGTTAGAGAATGGATGATTCCCACTAACCAGCAATGGTGCGCTAGTTATGACTACATGAAGGCGATCCATGGATAATTTGATGTGCTTTAGCCTTAGAAAGTTACGGGTTTGTCTGAAGATTTGGAACCCCACACTGACAGGGTTCATCAAAAAATGTATAGGTCCCTCAAAAAAAATCCATGTTGAAACATATGATTCTCATACATTCTGCATTTATCACTGGTTGGTGGTTTCAACCCCCCTGAAAAATATTAGTCAATGGGAAGGATTATCCCATATATTATGGAAAATAATCCAAATGTTTGAAACCACCAACCAGTTTATCATAACTTACCCTTACCAATTCTCTGATTGCTATACTTTCAAACGTCGGAATCGTCTTGGTGGCGACACCGACCACAAACATCCGAGAGACACAACAGGCAACGATGACGATGAAATTGAAAATACCAACCTCAGTTAGGCAACGATTGCCGGGTAACTGCAGAAATTAAGGGTCTAAAAAAACATGTTGAAACCATAAATCCGTTGCAGGATTGATGTCTGGGTTGATTTCCGTGGCAAAAATCGTGCGGAAGGTTCTCTTGCAAACATGGATGTTGTGAGAATGTGATGAACCCATACACATATGCAACAAAAACGGGAACACACTAAAAAAATATGCTGTTCGGCTTGATGGTTCAAGTTCCATGTTCAATAGTACCTGTTTCGCACGTTCAGTGACAATTGGCATGGAATCCAAAAACGAATTAACCTTATCAATATTTCAGAAGCATACAATTTCGACACACGGCTTAGTCATAGTGCTCTTCAATTACCAGGAAAAGGCTGGAAAACTAATTATATCAATGTGGTTGAAACAATAATAACCCATCCCCCAGTCATCACCATAGATAGATGGTATGTTTACCATTCCCAAATGGGCAGTTTATTATTGTTTTAATCACATCATATCTGGATAAATTACAAAAAAAAATCACTAACCTGAATCTTGCGGCCATTTGGGGATGATTTCCCTAAAATAAACCATGATTCCCAGTGAGGGAGAACAGTGAGGTCGTTATAATTTACCCAGCATCATATACAATATATTACAGTAATGTGGGAGTAAATCAACTCATGAACCACAAATGAGTGAAACAAACGTGTGAAGAGTTGGGTCGGAAATGCCTAGGCCCAACTCATAGGCCGGTCATACGCATGGCACCAAATAGGTCAGGTAGATGATGGTAGATGTTTTTCAAACTGGATTTTGCATGGGTCAAACCCGGTCAAACAACGTCATGCAAAACCACCCATGACTGGGAATGGGTGGTACCATACTACCTATAAAAATGATCATGACTGAGGGACGGTGCAAATGGCATGGTTTTACCCACATCAAATTAGTTATTCTAAGTGTGATGCACGCCAAAAATGAGTTTTTGTGGGATCAAAAATCAAAATGGTTCAAACATGTCTGCAAGTTCCAACATGCGACAGGTGCAATATGGCGCAACCATACCAAAACCAAAGCTGCCACAATCTATGGTTCCCTTAGTTCCATTTCTATTTTTCAAATGGAACCCCAAAGGCCTTTTTTCCAAGTTCGGAGAATCATCTGTAGGACCCCATCCGAGATCATTTCAGAGCAACCCCTAAACTCTTTTAACAGTGTCTCTTTTAACAGTGAAACATGATGATATAATATCTTATAGATCGTCGTTTCCCACATACTCCGCAGGTCTCTAACTTTCTTCAACTTTCCAAGTCTATGAGTAGTAGAGGTTGCTATATCCCAATATTTTCCAGGTTCCATGGTAGCTTCAGGTGAGCCATGAACAATACCACTACCCCATCTCGTCAAACACTGGTTGAGAAGTTTCCCTACCTATTAGACCATGTCCTATAATGTGGGTAAAACAATAATAAACCATCCCACATTCATCACCATTTTTATAGGTGCTATGTTTACCATTCCCAGGAAAATGGGTGGTAAACATGGCATTGGCCAGTACCCACAAGAAATGCCATAAATCCATCAACATCTACCCTGACCTCTTGGGTAACTTGCCACCTCGGGCGTTTCAATGGCTCAGGTACCCCCTGGTAATTTAACATAGCTATTGAAAATTACAATTTATAGTCGATTTTCCCATTAAAAATTGTGATTTTCCATAGTTATGGGACAGTTTACCAGAGGGTAGATCTCTTAAGCCCAGAAACCGCCCGGGCGGGCCAGAGGATGGCTCTCGCAGGGTTGCGGTAGAGGGTGGCGTTGCTGGCGGAGCTGCCGGTCATTAAGGCCATCCAGAGGTACCTGGTTGTCACTGGTTGTGCTGAGCCATTCACATGTCATAAAAACGGTACCCTCTGGTTATTTAACATAGCCATGGAAAATCACCATTTTTAATAGGTAAACCATCTATAAATGGCCATTTTCATTACTTATGTTAGTTTACCAGAGGGTATACGGTATCAATGATATCCCCAATCTAAATGGGAATGGGCTTTATAAGAATGTAACGTGGATACAATGGGGATATCATCAACATCAGGGTTTTTTAATGTTTTTTAAGGGATATCATATGGGATATAGTGGGAGTTACCCTCCAGTAAACTAACAGTTTAACTGGAAGATCAGCATGTTGAATAGGGCCTTGTTTTTTTAGGCATCTATCCATGGCTACCATGGCTACCATAGCTATGTTGAAATTGACCCATAAATTGGTCAGTCAACTGGGCTGCATCAGGGTGGACTGACCATGATCATTCCCCATTGAGCCCAGCCACCCGAGCGCCACGATGTTGAAGGTCCGCTGCCAAAGAAAGGCCACAATGATGGAGATCCAACAGAGGATGGTGGCAACCCAAATCATGAAGAGTTTCCTCTGGGGCCGGCCGGGGGATTCATAGGTTGAATCATAGGTTGAATCATGGTAGGTTTTTCGACTCCAATGATGAGGTTTTTCGACAAACATGTCTTGTTTAAGTCTATATTCGTTTTGAAATGGTTTTAAAGTTTAAGTTTAATGCATGTTGTTTATCAGGCCCACCTTGTTGAGGGTCGAAAATCACTTCTGGCCGGAGCTAAGGGTTCCAAATCACTCAAAAATGGAAAGGGCAAACAAGGACCCATGAGTTATGAAAAAGACCCTGGTTGATTGGCTAGGGAAATATACTAGCTGGGTTACTGGGGATTATGAACTAACCCATATTCGGGAAACCTATCAAACCAAGTCTGGTTGGTGGTTTCAACCCCTCTGAAAAATATTAGTCAGTTGGGATGATTATTCCCAATATATGGACAAATATAAAATGTTCCAAACCACCAACCAGAAGTAGTATAATCCATATTAATCCATACCTCTGCGTCAGGAGCTCTCCTATCATTTTCCAGCGGGGGATGTTCAAAAACTATGTCTTTCCCTCAGCCACTAGTATTTGTTCATCAAAAAGCAAAATAACTTTCCCAGCCATTCTTCGGGGCGCAGTTCTCGATGCAGTTCCAGTTACTAGTGGGTATAAAACCCCAAAAAGTCATAGGGCATCATAGGGCTAGCCTATCCCAACTCCTGGAGGTTACCACCATGGTTAGTTACCACCAGGAGTGAGAACATGGACTTAGGATAACCCTAACCATGGTGATAACTCAAATATATCCCATCTCCTAACCTATGCCATGCCCATTTTCTGCACCACACTACTCACACTTCCGCCCGTTGACCCCGTTGCGGATCGCCGTGTCTCAAGTCCGAGTGCTTCTCCTCTTCTGACTCGCTCCTGTAGATCAAAGGCAAGCTGCCAGGGACTAATGCGTAGATATGGCTTAATTGTGGGTTAATAATGAGTTCATAATGGACTAATGATCAATAATGGGTTGATAAAGGGTTAATCATGGGTTATTAATTAATAATGGGCATTTCATGGGATATCCTTGGTAATTTGCTACATAGCTATGGGAAAATGGTTCATTGAGTTCGATGATTTACCTTTAAAAATGAGATGTTCTATGGCTATGTTAAATAACCGGATGATATTGGGCAAGGTTGATAAGCCCGTGTAGTTGGGGTTGATGGGGGTGAATAACTCCGCGTTGTAACCTTTGGGGATGGCACGTGTCCTCCAACATAGCCCACTTGAAAGTTGGAGCATTCCAACTTCCATCCGCCAAAAAATCCAACTCTACATCAAGATCATCAAGTCCAAACTATTATTGTATTGTATAATGAATTTTTGTTTCGCCTCTCCACTTTCATTCATCAACACCCGGGTCCTGCATCCCAGTGGCTCCAAGATGTACTTGAAAATCAAGTCACAGAGCCTCTGCAACCACTTCGACCGGCCTGGCCCCTCCGACGACTCATCGGGACTGGACCGGGGCCGATCCCAAGAGGTGTGCAAGACCCAGCAGAGGGCGAAGAAAAGGATGAACTTTGGCACCTTGGAAGATTGGCTCCTGGAAAACATTGGGAATATAATTTTGTATATATATATATATAACTATATATATAACATATATATATATATAACCAACTAACCATAGTAAATATATATATATATGAAACAATGTACACAGCCATTGTGGTGATGAAATAGCTATAAATTGAGGACATAATATGAAGATTCGTATCACAACGGCAGTTGGACTGGGTTTTTGGCCACAAAGTTCCCTTTTCGGTACTACCCAAAACAGAATCAACCATTGCAATAAGACAACCATTGTTGTATGAAATTACTGGCTGATATCCATAGTTATGTTCGTTTACCATAGGTAATTACCGGGAATCTCCATCATTTGATGGGTATGTTTATGGTTATGGCTAATTGATTTATAATTGGTGGTACGGTGGGAGGCCATACCATCAATATGTCATGAATAGGTCTATGACCTCCATGAAAATTTGCAGTATATAATTACCGTTAATTACCATGAACCGTAGCGGCAATTATATATTGGAGTAAGTTATAAAATTACCATGATGGAGTAACTTAACATGATTAGCATGATGGAGTAACTTACTATCAAGTTACACAATTACCATTTTATGATTAGTTACTCCATTTTTATGAACATTACTTCATGAAATATCCCAATATACCGCACTAATAATAGACCATTCACATATCCATGTCCATTACCCTCTGGTAAAGTAACATAGCTATAAAAATCACCATCGTTAAGTTCGGTAAATCGACTATTTCTATGTGCCATTTCCATCCATTTTCGCTAGCTATGTAACAAATTACCAGAGGGTAATCACCATCAATTCACTATTAGCCATTTATAACCACCATCAATCACCACTAATTCACTATTAATCACCATTAACCATAGATATTCCCATATTAATCACCACTAATTCACTATTATATAATCACCATTAACCAGCATTAAATCTCCCATTCATCCATTGATCCATATCCCCATCATCTCCGGCCGTACGCCAGGACACCCGCAGACCACACTCCAGGCACATCCAGTAGACCACGTCGCGGCCACAGCGCTGCCGCTGGGTCAACCAATCCGCCTGCGAAGCGCGAATTCTTAAAGCGTCGAGGAAGTGATGTCTGGGCGTATTTGGGTTGTGAAGAATGGGATGTTTGTTGAGTTTTGGATGGTTTTAATGAGATTTAAAGTCGATTTCATCTATTTCAACTGGGTGTGGGATGATTTTCGCGCTGGTTTCAATGGCGTGTTCATTGGATTTTGGTGCGTTCAATGGGGTTTCATGGGATCTTAGTTAGTTGATGGGAATCTAAGTGACATAATGGAATTTTATGATAATGTTCAACCAACACTAAATGCAGAAATTATGTATAGATGAGCAATTACGAGGTAGAAAGATGCAGAATATACCCCCCAGTACTCAAACATGGCAATTGCAAATCCCAAAGTTATCCTACATTCTAGATGGTTTTCCCACGAACATCTCCATTTAGTTCGGGGATTTCCCAGCCAGCCATGGCTTAGAATGCTGGCTGACTGAACGCTTCAATACATGTTCCAGGAATGTTTCATTTGAAAATATGGCATGATCTGGTGGGTACCTTGAATCACACAGAACATACCCCGGTAAGGCAGCTACATATGGCACTACCCACTTACCCCCACACACACATGACAACGTGATATATATGATGTGCCCAATTTGAAAAGCACTTGGGATGCAGCACTCGCCACAAAAGAAAAAGCTGGAATGCTTTTGAAGAGCACTTGGGATACAATGTACCAAAAGGACTGGTTTTGAAAACAACATGCATTTGAAATGCTCTTGTGATGCACTTTTAATATGTTCAACATATTATATTATTGGCAGGTATGCCAAAAAGATTCTTATAAGCTTAGACACCACTAGCCAATGCCTGGAGAATGATCCTGCACCCCCCGTGCGGAAGTGTGCCATGCACCTGCTCGAAGTGTTGCGCTTGCGCGTGGCCCGTGATGTTCCGCGGCGCGCTGGGGTTCCAGGGGTCATAGTTCCTGGAGCTGAGAGACTGATGGATTTCCAAACCCTTCAGGCGGAATAGACCTTGACCTTCACAGAAATACCTTGTTTCAACATCAAAAAATATGTATTTCTCCTACCGGTTTGGTTATCAAGAAGTCATTCATCCAAAACAGTCTTCGTCTGGATTCTGTGTCAGTTTTCAAGTGTCTCGAATCCACTTTGGATACATTTAAAATGACCTCTATACGTGCGTGCCAGGCAATCACATGATAGAATGATGATATATAGAATGTTGGATGAATAATCTGTTGCAACTTTGATGTTTTTTGCCACATGTTTGGTTGTTAATCCTAACTGACCAGCCAAACATTTCTTGGGGCCGGGTATCTAAGATTTCCAGTCCGTGAAAACCTTAATTCAACGATTTTAACGGAGGATTTCTTGCTCACGATTTCTTGGTTTACTGCTTAAAATTGACTTTGGTTGTTTGGCATCTAGAGGGAGTAATGTAAAATAGATCACCCGGATTTATATATATATACCCTCTGGTAAACTGTCACATAACTATGGACAATCACCGTTTTTAATGGGAAAAATCACTATAAATGGCCATTTTCAATAGCTATGTTAGTTTACCAGAGGGTTATATTATATATATATAATTGTATATACAGTATCGAGCAATTCTATGGATACAACCATAGCTCTCCCTCCAAGGCCCCATCCTGCACATCTCCCATAGTGCGATGCTGTCGGGCACGGGTTTGGCAGAGAAGCCTCCCGTCGGAAGTGCCGAAGAAATACAGGACGTCTGGATATACCCAGAAAATGCGAAATATTATGGGAAATAATGGGATATTATAATGGGATACATTATTATCCTGATTTCTAGATTATTAAAATGGGATATTATTGGGATAATATTATTATGGGAAATATCTGGATATTATTATAGCCATAAATAATGACAATCATCACAATAATATCACAATATATCCAGAATATCATTATAATATCAGGCTTGATGACATGTGATGATTGGGAAGATATTCCTGATATTATAATGATATTATCTTGGGATATATTGGGATGATATTGAGTTTTTTTTTGGAATCTTCCCACTCTGGTTATTAATGATATTGTTGGAATGATATTGAGAATTATTATATTCCAAATATGATGTACACAAATATTGCCATCAATGATTGAACAATTGTCAACTTTATTGATAGCACATCGATGAACACTTAACATACACAGCAATCAATGGATGAGTAATTTGATATTATAGTATCCATACTGTATACATATTGTTCATCAATAACTGTTCAATTATCACTTTTCAACAGGTAAAACTTGAGTCATTTAAGACTTCTAGGGATACTTTTTATTAGGTTTGACAAGTTCTTTTGAATAATGTCCCTTCACAATGGTGATAGTCAAGTCAACAAAACTGGCTAGTTATTCTTCAAACAGTTCTTCAGAGTGAAGTCGAAACCACCAAAGAACCAGCCAGTGATGTGGGGACTAAGGCTTCACAAAAATACCAACATTAGGCTTAATTCCGTTGATGTCTTAGTACTCAGATGTAAGGAGTACTTGTGGTTAGCTGCAATTTGGTATAGATAAATCTAAGACCTTGCCATCTGGAAACTTAACTAAATCTGAAAATCCTCTATTTTCATGGGCCATCTTCATCTATTTTCCACAGCTAGCTGTGAAATTACCAGAGGGTACCCATTGTTGTTCCTCTTACAAATCGGATGGATCATCTTCACGATAATCGTGGCCGAGGCATTCATCCGCTTTCCATAGGCCTATCCTTTTTTTTGCCTTTGGAAAGTATTTATAGAATCTATGGTTAATATGCCTTTATCTTCCTTAATATGCCTTATATGTAATATATCTTTTGTTGGTTTTGAATCGGGTACATGCCTTCAATTTTGAAGAAAGGCCCTTTGGTAATTCAACAGTAGCTATGAAAAATCATCATTGCTTATTCGTAATCCATCGAACTAAACGTGCCATTCTATCAATTTTCCATGCAAAATTTAGATTGTCATAGCGTGAATGAGATACTATCTATGTATATATGTATATAATATATATATATATATTATATATTATGGAGGTTTCCTGAAATAGGGGAACCAGTTCTCATCCATGTATAGATTTTCCCTTTTTTCCCACCATCCAGCTATTGGGGTACCCCGGGTACCCCTCATGACCATGGAAATCCTCCATTTTCCGATGGTTTTCCCACAGGTTTTCCCGTGGTTTAGCTATCGCCTGCCATGGGAGGCAACCACAGGGCGGAGCACATCTCACCTCCCGGTGGACACGGCCATGCAACAGGAAGCCATTTATTGGAGGTACCTACCATATATAAGGCCTATTTTTGAGGCCTATGTAAGGGAATATCACCACAAAATATGGCCAAAAATATGGTACAGTACCTCCATTTTAGGATCCTGAAATTCCCATTGACAAGATAGCGTTCAGCTGCCTGAAAACAGTGGCTGAATTCTATGGTTTATGGTAGATATAACTTGAGTTCATGGGGGTAAAAAATGGGTTATACCCTCTGGTAAACATACAAAAAATTATGGAACACCTACCATGTTTAATAGGTAAAACAACTATAAATGGACATGTTCAATAGCTATGTTTGTTTACCAGAGGGTACCATTTTTTTGAGGCCTATCCAGGCCTAAATTTCAGGGAGTATCCCACAAAATCTGGTCTGAAATATGGTACTAACGTACCTCTATTTTGGGTTCTTGAAATTCCCATTGATTTAGTATACTCCAAAATGATTTCATGTAGCTGAATGTACTTCAATATGTGTTGATATAGTTTCTATGCCTGAGTCTTTGCATGCAAACATACACATATGATATTTGTGTCTATGTCTGATATGATCAAATATAGTCAATCTATGTAGTTTTTTGCAATCAAAGTTTAATATTATGTATAATATGTATATATATATATATATGTTGGCAACCTCAATAATGCCAAGACAGAAAGTTGTAAAATCCCACAGCACTAAAATTTGTTATTTTGATAGTGGTTGCCTATAACTTTCTGTAGTCATAACACACCACTCTCAACAAAACATAGCACTTAACTACTTGAAGCTTTTCTGAATCATTTTATGGGTTGCCTACAAATTGACATATATAATAAAACAATATACTGTAATACATGACTACATGACCCTTAAAAACATGGGAAGTGATAGAATCAACACATGTTTGGATGATGCGGATGCCAAGTTGCCAAGCATCCCGACAGCCAGACTGATGACCATCACCTCAGGGGAAGTGTTTGATGGGCTATTGAAGGATTTTACCATGGGATTCTCCCCCTCAAGTACAGTTTTTTTGAGACTTTGACCATGTTGAACCCTCTCTCTCTCTAGCCTATGGAAATGTTGTCTTCAAAACGCCCGGGTCATCCGGTTAGTTGGACGGATGACTTTTTTTTGGGGGGGTTCTTGTTCTGTGTCCTGGGTCAGGTCTGAACCAGCAAGACATGACATGGAAAAATCGAAGGTCAATCCTGGAATGAAGCATCTAGAACAACCAGCAGGCATAGCCAAAAAATATCAATAACTATGGGACTAAGTCAAAACAAATTCAACACTTGTCAACTCAAAAGATCAACGGTTTACCATGATTTAATCAGCACGCAGTGACAGAAAGCTGCCCAAATTATGGACGGATATCTTGGGTTTGTTGATCCCTGCTTATTCAAACACTTTCTCCAATCTAATCTAATCCATCCAGATATTGGGCCCGGTGCCATAATGAAGGGATACAGTACCCTCTGGTAGTCAAACATGGCTTGAAAATCGCCCATTTTTTTCAGATTCAGTCAAGTACAGTTGAGTTTCTCACTGATAAACCACAATAAACCTCCATTTATCGATGATTTTCCATATGTTCTCCAGGATTTTCCATGATTTTCCATATCTTTCCCATGGTTTTCCATGATTTAAAGCCCCATTTCGTTCGGAGAAAAAATCCTTCGTCCGGGTCACCTGGATCCAAAAGCGCGCTCGCTCTGGGAGCTGCCAAGGGTTGCTGCTCATAGGGGGCTTCACCATGCCACCTGGGGGCGAAACCATTGGAAGATGTGGATGTATACAAATGATATATATATATATATATGTGTGTGTGTGTCTCCCTCTCTCTCTCTCTCTCGTTCTCTCTCTTTCGCTCTCTTGCAAATATATATATATGTGTGTGTGTGTGTCATGTGTATATATATAATATTCATGATATAAACATATGGAATATTCCCAAATCTTAGTGTGGCAAAACAAGGCTGATTAGATTCAGGTTGGTTCCGGCGTGATATGAAGCGGTCTTTTTTATCATCCGGTTTGAACCAGCATACGATTGTACTGGCCCATCTCAGCCAAGCCCTATCCAATTGTGAGGCAAAACAAATACCGTGACACTCTCCGGATCCGGCAATCCAATTTGGCTGGTAAGTGACCATGATTTTGGCAACATCAATACAAATAGCCTCTGGTTATGACTAACATAGCAATGGAAAATTCCAAAAATAAATGGAGGTATATAGCTGGGAAAATCATCTTTAAATGGGTAACATGTTCCAATTTCCAGATTAGATTAGCAAATGGTTGGGTATGTCGTGGTCTTCAACAAAGCAACAGCTAAAGTTGGCCAATTGGCAACCCACGACTTCATCCGAGGGGCCGCTGGCATAAAAACCACCCACCACGGCCAGACTTGGAAGACCTGACGTCATCAAACATGGCTGGCAAATACCCGAAGTACAACAGTGTGGAGTAGTATTACTAGATATTACTAGAGTATGGATCCAAATTTTGGAAGCCTAACAATTTAGGTTCCAGAGTCACAGGCCGCGAAGCCGCTGTCTTTGGCTTTGGCCTTCGAATCGGATCCGTAGTAATGATAGTCATGTGGATATCATGCAGGTAACGTAGTAAAACATATTGGGAATAATAGATTACTTAAAACTTCAAAACCATTTCTGGACAAATTAGCGGTATGTTTACTAAGTTATACTAACTTTAACTACTACTGGCAAATTGTTTTCCTTACTAACTCTATCTACCAGTAGTTTTATGGTTAATTAGGTTTGGCTTTACCCTCTGGTTATTTAACATAGCCATGGTATAGATGGCCCTAATCGAAATAGATGGTTTACCTATTAATAGCATGGTGATTTTCCATGGCAAACTGTTAGTCATAACCAGATGGTACTGTATATGTCCATTAATTCACTATTAGCCATTAAAAAACCACCATCAATTAATCACCATTAATAACCACTATTAATCACCATTAGCCATAGATATTCCCATATTAACCACCATTAAATCACCATTAAAAACAACTGGCGGAATGGCGGGGCTGGGCCCCGCACACCAAACCGTCTCTTCTAAGGTGCAAATGACCTACGGCAGAGGGGGAACTGAAGAACTGGTTATGGTAAGATATCGTTAGAAAAAATGATAAGGAACTAACATTTATATGATAAATGATGATAAATAAGGACACGAAAAATGTGTGAACACTTAAATTGAAATTGATGTGTGTCGTGTCTAGTCTACTAGTATTGCAAATAGCAAACCCATGTATAAATGAGTATGAATCAGACTATCAACCATAGATGTAAACACCTTTTAACGTGTGGAAATCCCCTACCAAACCATGGTGACTCTTGGGTCTGTTCGATCTTTTAAAGGGGCAAAACCCAGTGCTTAAAGAGAACGGGGTAAATCCTTGAACTCAACGGGTCATTGTTCATATCAAACTGTGAAAATTTATCGCAATGTAATGCTGGTTATAGCCCAATAATAATAATCATGATGATGATAATCATCCCAAGCGATGTTATAACTTATAACTGTCAACCTAATGGTTATTCCTCGGGGGATCCAGTAATAGTAAACCAAAACGATAGAAACTTATGCTAATCTATGGGTGGGAGGTGGGGGCAAATTACTGTGCAGACATCTGGTTATCCAGTTATCCATCCTGTTTTTTGTTGAGGTCACTGAGTGAACATACTAATGCTAAACAGTAAAAAGTGTACATGTCATACCATAGTACACTTAGTAAATGTCATGTCATTTATCCAAATTATCTGGCAAATCCTGAAGTGATCCAAAATTAATCTAAGATCCTACCAAACAAAGATCATTTATTGGGAATCATATTCCCAGTACATTTATGGATCCAATGTTTAAAAAAAGTGTATCAACAGTCTACCATAAAAATTGGCCCTTGATCCATTGCCCGCATGGCAATCGAACATCTGTTATACCCTCTAGTAAATTAACATAGATCCTGCCAAATAGGGCTTGGAAGATTGGTTTCCACTAAAAATGGCATATGTTCAGGGTCAACAAGTTAATGTGCCAGAGAGTAAGTGTCACTATTCCATATTATTCCATTAATCAACTACTGTCAATCTAGCTATTGCATTTCACTGTTTAATGAAATAAACCCAATGCCATTAATGAAATCCCAAAGTACAGTAACTATTATCAATATGCTATTAAACTATCATTAATTCATTATTGGCTATTATTAGGTATTCTGATCTATTAATTTATTACTAATAATTACTTAGAATAACTAATATTTAAATATTACATATATATATATTAGATGATTCTCCCTGTTGATAACTGAATAAATTTAAATCATAATCCACCGTTTATTCTTATTAGTTATCAACTTTTATTAACTATGATCAGTCATCATTATCCATTAAAAATACTAGCATGAACTAGTATCAACCGTTATTCATCCATTATTGTTGTTGATGTCAACCCCGGATTAATAAACCCTGGTTGATTACTTGTGGTGCCCAACTACTGATAAATGGCTACTAAAATGGTACCCCCTCCAATTAAACACAGCCTAGGGGTTTATTAATCCGGGGTTGACATAAATTATCAACCATTATTAACATGGATTATTACATATTATTACTAACAGCGGATTATCATCAGTCATCATTATCCATTAGTTGTTACTTAATTATTAATATATCCATTATATCAATTATATCCATTATCCATTATAATCATTACTCATTAATCCATTATCCACTGTTTAATATTGTTAATGGGATCATTATTCCCAACATACGGAAAAATAATAATAATAAACATGTTCCAAACCACCAACCAGTTAATTAGTTGTTACTTACTGTAATTATAATCATTAATCCATTATCCACTGTTTAATAATGTTATAGTGGTTATCAGTATCCAAATCATTTCATATGGATAATCATTAATCATTGATCCATTATATATATGTAGGTTTCTATGGCTAATAATCATATAATTTAATCCATAATCCATTATCCACTGTTTAATATGCTTAATGGTATCATTATTCCCAAGATATGGAAAAAAATGTTCCAAACCACCAACCAGTTAATTAGTTGTTACTTACTGTAATTATAATCATTAATCATTAATCCATTATCCATTATCCGCTGTTTAATATGGTTAATGGGATCATTATTTCCAAGATATGGAAAAATAAAAGAAAAATGTTCCAAACCACCAACCAGTTCATTAGTTGTTACTTACTGTAATTATAATCATTAATGATTAATCCATTATCCACTGTTTAATATGGTTAATGGGATCATTATTCGCAAGATATGGGAAAAATTGTTCCAAACCACCAACCAGTTAATTAGTGGTTACTTACTGTAATTATAATCATTAATCATTAATCCATTATCCAGTGTTTCATATGGTTAATGGGATCATTATTCCCAAGATATTATTTTTTATAAAAAAAAAATGTTCCAAACCACCAACCAGTTAATTAGTTGTTACTTACTGTAATTATAATCATTAGTCCATTACCCACTGTTTAATAATGTTATAGTGGTTATCAGTATCCAAATCATTTCATATGGATAATCATTAATCATTGATCCATTATATATATATATGGAGGTTTCTATGGCTAATAAGCATATAAGCCATTATCCATCACCCACTGTTTAATATTGTTTATAATGGTTATCATTATCCAAATCATTTAATATGGTTAATCAATTATTTGGATAATAATAACCACTATAACACTATAACATTATTAAACAGTAGATAATGATAATGGATTATAATACATACATATGGTTAAACCCATTTAAGTTCCAATCCATTTTATTTACAGACATATGTTCCAAACCACCAACCAGTTAATTAATTATATATGGTTCCACTGTTTAATAATCCATTATGGAGGTTTCTATAGCTGATAATGGATTATAATACAGACATATGTTATCATTATAATCATTAATAATTAACTATATGGATTATGATAATGGATAATGGACTAAACCACCAACCAGTTAATCAATTATTTGGATAATAATGGATAGTAATAACCACTATAACATTATTAGACAGTAGATAATGATAATGGATTATAATACAGACATATGGTTAAATGGTTTCATTATGTCTATTATCAACAGTGGATTTAATAACAGTGGATTCCACCATTAACAGTGGATTTAACCATTATCAGCTATAAAAATCCAACCAGTTAAGTATGAATCATTAATCATTAATCCATTATCCACCGTTTAATATGGTTAATGGGATCATTATTCCCAAGATATGGAAAAATAATTTCTATAGCTGATAATGGATTATCATGAACAAACCACCAACCAGTTAATTAATTATATATGGTTCCACTGTTTAATAATCCATTATCCACTGTTTAATAATGTTATAGTGGTTATCATTATCCAAATCATTTCATATGCTTAATTCTAATCCATATTAATCCATATTGTCCGCTGTTTAATATGGTTAATTAATTATATATGGTTCCACTATGGCTGATAATGGATTATAATACAAACATAATATGGTTAAATCCACTGTTTCTCTTGTTTTCGTTGCTTCGATCGCCAAGTCGCCACGATGCCCAGCGCCGCCAGCTGCGGCACCGCCAGCAGCAGCTGCCGCACCTCCGTCACCGGGTCCAGCTGGGGCCTGGCCCACCGTGGAGGCCACGGGGGGCGGCCGTAAAGGTGGGAAAAATGTGGGAAAACTGGAGAAATCTACGGTGAAATGGAGAAAAAAGATGAAGTAAACTCTGAGAATGATTATTTTTAGGGAGATTTCTTGGGAAGTTTTCTGAGTGTTTCCGTTTTGGTTGATGGTTTCGACGTGTGTCGATGTTTCTACTATATGTTTCGAGATATTTTAAGTGACTTGTCGTTTGGAAGGTTTGAGCCAGTGGAAGGGACTGACAACAGAAGCTAGTATATTTCAGCACTGAGATACTGAGATACCGAGGTTGAGTTTTTATCACCAACCTCCAAGAAGGAGCAAGAGAATGGAGAAAAGGCCAATGCTTCTCAACATGCGCAATGCTTTCTTCATGTTCATCCGACGTGCCGGCGAGGATCGCCAGTCGTTACAAGTCACCACACAACATCCCGAATCATCCAAGTAGGGTATATTTACGATTATATATCCCACGTTATTATCCCACGTTATACCCGAAAATCCATAGGCAAACAAAACTGGCTGAATTACAATCAATAATTTACTAGGATGATTCCCCGCAATCTAACGATCATTCCAGTGACGTCATGATATGAGCTCATTACGTAATTCATGCAGAATATATAGCATAGAAACGGCATATTTTCAGTGGCCATTTCAGGAACCTTAATTGGAGGTACCTACCATACATAAGGGCCTATGTAAAGGCATATCCGGCATATCCCTACAATCTATGGCCTTAAAATGCCTTAACTTATATGGTACAGCCATGGACAGCCCTTGGTCCATTCCATTCCATTCCTGTCCTCAAGGCTCTTCGCCAAACGTCCGGCAGCTGGCTTCCTGAATCCATGGCGACACGGCCCAATGGCCGCTGGAACAAGCACCGCAAGCACCCTATAGATACATAACAGGTAGCATCTCATGGTGGTTACCCTCCCAAATGGTGATCATTCAAAACAAGGTTGCACCCGTAGATACTTTGATACTTTGTGTTTGAATGATCTCACAAGTGCAAGCCAGTTGTCTGCAATTTGAGAAAATGGAGTGTTGCTCCAGCATGAATGTTTATTAACACATTGATACGTTGATACGTGCGTGAGGGGAGAAAAAAACATACATCATGTTTCATCACTAATAATACTCTCCGGGAATTTGTTACATAGCTATTGAAAGGTGCCATTTAGTTCGTTGTTTTACCCATTCGAAATGGGTAAATTGTCCATCGAACACTGAGGGTTTGTCATCCCGAAGATGCCCAGCTGGCCTCTGGCTGAAGCACCTGACCATCACTCAAATGGAAGTCCAGAGCCCCCCCCAACTAAAAAAACATCAAACATCAGCAACATCATGTTAAAAAAAAAACAGATAATCCGGGATTTATAGTCCGGGACATCAGATATATAATCCCCGATTTCTATTTTTCCACATGTTTCCATAAGAAATTCCGCTATCCTCACCTTGCAAGAGCACCATCTCCTGCTCCATGGGAAGCTCCGGAGCCAGCGACGGCGAGTCCGGCGGCTGTAGTGGAGCTTCCAACATCCCCTCGAGCCTCGTGGAGTCGTGGAAGGTCTATGGGGAAGATCATCTAGAAATATATGGGAATGTCATATATCGTGTGTATATGTATTTAATATATTATATATATATTATACTGTAATAAGATATAACATGATATAACTCAACTAAGAATGGAACTCCATTATGTGGATTATACATGATTAATCATGCAACTTTTGTGTGAACAAAAATAGCGTGGTACCCCCCAAATCTAGTGGTTTCAAAGAGGAGAAATCTGCAGCTCGCTTGTCCGTTGGTCAAGGCGCATTGCCAAAATGATGATGATGAGATCGCGACAGACCTGACAAAACAACTCAGGAGTTTGAGCAGAAAGGGATTCGGTGAAGCCAGGAGAAAAATGCGATTTTCGCTGGCAAACATAGTGCTAATTCTCCAAAAACTACTGTAGGTAATTAGTACTATTGCTGCCAAGATAGTAAAGAGCACGCCATGGCATGAGTGTGCACCAATAGAACCCAAAACTTCATCGTTCAGGCGCATTTTCGACCCGATACTATGCCTGTCAAAGAGTCAAAGAGTCGTTGAATCACAACATGTTACAACTCAATCAGCATTTCTAGACTTATCAAAAACCATCTTAAAGTCTGTGAAAGCATGTGAAAGCATGGTAAAGCTCTACTAAAATGACGCTCTCCAAAGCAGCCATGGGGTTTTTTGTTCGCCCAATGAGTCCCCACTGAGTCCCAGGCAAAGCCCAGCTTTGGTGCCACGCCGAAGTAGTACATCTGCTCCTGATTTCTGCTGGAATTCAGCGGTGGAAACCATGTGGAAAGCATTTTTCAGAGAGCACCGATTTCAACAAGGCTGGTTGGTGGTTGCTGCTAACCCCTCTGAAAAATGATGGACTGAAAGTCAGTTGGGATGATGACATTCCCAACATGCATGGGAAAGTCATAAAAGCCATGTTCCAAACCACCAACCAGATGGGAATGTTGTGGAATATCTTGGGAATATCTTGGGAACATTACGCGAAAAATTATGAGAGAATTTTCTGAAAGTCCTATTTGGGAAGTGTTTTTTGGAAGTCTATGGGCTGTTGCTGAAAGGGATCCCATCATATCCCATCATTGGTCCCTATCAATTCAATGGATGTTGGTTTTTTGGAGTTCAACCAGCCATCTATCCACCTAGATCTGGGGAATTTCTGTCATCGGACCAAGGCCCATCCATGGAAGGTGGGCAGAAATATGTGATGATTCTTCACCATGGTTTTCTATACTTCACCATGCATAAATATATATATATATAATTATATTATTTAATCATATAATACACATGGCTGTGGCTCACAAAAAAAAACAGATATGGATCGTTCCGCAGGGATCCATACCTATGGACCACCTGTCGACCTTTGACATGTTTAACCCTTGGTCCGCAGCTGAAATTTTGAGCCGCAGCTTTGTAGGTATAAATAATAATCCTGGAGTAGATGAATATGGAAATGTCAAAAGATCCACACTAAAATAGGAAAAAGGCTTTGAACAACCTGCATAATTATTCTAATTGTCTACTTCAGGATGATTGTGGATGATTGCGGATGATTATAATATATATATATATACATGTGCATATATTTATTTATTGATTGATTTAATTAAATTATATATGATACTATCTCCTCATTTTTACCAAGGCTACATATGTAGAATTTATATAGATATATAGATATATAACACAAAACAAAGACGCATTTGTTGATCCATTCTTTCCACCGCTCCTCGGACATGCGATGCCATCTGGTGAAACCCAAGAGCTGTGCCAAAATACTCAGACCTTCGCAGAAGTTTGACCAAGAAGTGGGGCTGGGGCCAAGGAATAAATGGCTGCTGATGGTTCATCAATGATGAATGGATATTAGTGTGGTATTCACAATGGTTATGGTTAATCAATGACTAACAGACTAACGGATATTGCTGATGGTTAATCATGGTTAATCAATGATTAATGGACATGAACGTGGGATATCAATGGGTTACGAATTTATGGTTAGGTAAGTAGAGTTACTCATAAAAGTCAAAAAAACTGGTCTGAAATGATTGATTGTGCACCTGTACATGTTCATAATTGCATATCTATGTTTTTAAGATCATTTTTTTAACGATGGTTCCTTGAAACTTGTTGAAACCCTATAATTCAGTCACTGCCCCTACATGGGTTTGTCCTGGAGTAATCAAACATAGATAACAAGCCAAACGGGCAATTGCTAACAATCATGGAACTGATGATAAACCACTTTGCTGGATGTGTTCCCTCGCTTTCACATACAATCAACCCTACTTGAGGGCACAGTTGGGGTGCTGATGGGACGTAACCATGGCTATAAACCTCATAAGTTTATAATCCCAAGTTATGGCCTTATATATAATTATATATATATATATTTATTTATTTATTTTTATATATGTATTTATGCATTTATTTATTTATTTATATTTGCACCCACTCATCAAATCTTGCTAAGTGGAACTTCAAGGTGGTTGCGCCGAGGGGCACGCAGCAGCAATGAAGAACCGCGTGGCGTAGCGTCGGGAAATCTCTTTGGGCAGTGCCAGCAGCAGCAAACAGAGCAGCTGCTGCAGAGTCATCATGAAGTTCACGGGGTAGAATTGGACCTGGATCCCACCAGGGTTGGTGAACCCATTTTTCATGGGTTTAAGCCCCATAATTTTTTTTGGGACCTGGTTGGTGGTGCAATAACCATCTTGAAAAATGATGGAGTTCGTCAATGGGAAGGATGACATCCCATATAAATAAAAAATGTTTGAAACCACCAACCAGGGGAAAATCCCAAGGGTTTCCGGTAGATTTTCCCTTAAACCAATCCATTGGACCTGGACTTAGGACAGTTCAAAAACAGATGTTAATGGTGGAAGGTTTACCCTCTGGTTATGTCAAAATAGCTTTTGAAAATGGCCATTTATAGTGGATTTACCCATTGAAAATGGTGATTTTCCATAGTTATGTTAGTTTACCAGAGGGTAAATCCTATCATTTCCCCTGGGAAAATTCATGCAAGAATTGAACCTGGTTTTTAACACTATGGGACAAGCCCTTTAAAACTGGATGGGTTAGCGGAGGGACCTGGACTTTTGGTAAAAGCCATTCCTAGGTGTCTGAAAATAGGGAACATCCCAGAAAATCCAAGACCCGAGAAACATCCCTTTTTGTTGCAGGCTAACCTGCTCACCCCACACCCCACTTTTGCCATAATTCATAGAACCCCTGTTTATATTTTAAAAAAACAATCTATTTCAGAATGGCTGGTTATATCATGTTATATCATGGAAATATCATGTTATAAGTTATATCCCAAGATTATATAATGTTACAGTTATATTCAAACAATATATCACGTCATATCCGATATATATATATATATATCATGTTAGTTAAATTCCAACATTATATCATGTTATATATTCATATCCCAATACTATATCATGACTATATGGGGGTGTCCATAAATGGGGGTACCCCGAAATGGATGGTTTATAAGGGAAAATCCTATTAAAATGGATGATTTAAGGGTACCCCCATTTATGGACCCCCCCATATGATATTCCAACATTCACCATATATTCACCATATCTTTGCTGGTGGTCTTGCCCCGTTGCCCCGCCAACCGACCAAAATGAAGACCGCCAGGATCAGCGCCACGCTGGAGCGGCGATACAGAAATCCCATGACCTCAGCGCCGTGAAGGCCAGGTGCTAACTGAGAAAGTTGAAGCTAGCAATGGATCTTAGAATATAAGGTGGTTATCTTCAACAAGCAATGGATCTTAGCAATGGATCTTAGCAATGGATCTTTGATCTTAGATAGATAGATCTTATATCTTAAATATTGCATTGAATATGTAATAAGGTGGTCACTGAAAATGAATATGCCGAATATGCAGGATATATTGTTATGTCTTTATTAGAAGATTTAATGGAACAACAACAACAACAACAACAACGGTGGAATATCTAATAGATCTCAATAGTAACCTCGAGAGAAAAAGGCCACAAACTGAAGATTCAATGGGTTGGTGTCCCAAGGGAAGTTTTGCAGGAAACACCATGGTTTTGATTGTCATGTGTTTGGGGTTTGACGATGCTAAACCAGGAATTTGTTGGTTAGCTTTGGTGAACGTTCGCTCTGATGGGTGAAATAACTCACCAACACATCGCATGGAATAGCTAAGTTTCGCCAGCCAAAATGGGGATGGAGAAACTGTTTGCTGGCTTATCCTGTAAACTACCCTCTGGTAAACTAACATATATAACTATGGAAAATCACAATTTTTAATGGGAGAATCCACTATAAAAAGCCATTTTCAATAGCTATGTCAGTTTACCAGAGGGTAGATGTGAGTATAATTTTCACGTACCATTTCAATAGATCATTTTCCTATGGGCTTGCCGCTGGGTTTTTTTTCCACATCTTGGTGTCACAGTTAATCCCCCAGGGGCCCTGGAAATCCCCCAGCCAGCTCGTTAGCTCCAACTTGATGGTCTATCAATTAGATCACAAAAATGCGTGTAAACAGCCCCAACAACTGATGATTATTGATGATCATTTTACATCAGGTTATATATGGTTATATCACCATTATTGCTGGATATTTCATTCAAACACCATGCGTTACTGATAAAAGGGTTGTTCAAACATTCAATCAGTACCCCTTTAATGAGTTCCCCCTACATCCAAGTTATATCACCATGTTTGCCGGATATTGGCTATATCATGACTTATAGACTATAACACTTATAACTGATTATATACTTTTTTGATGATTGTACAGTGATATCCTATCGATGGTTGTATCAAAATATGTGAATATATGACTAAAGAAGAGACATGAGTTACATCCAGTTACAGCATCAGTTGATTATACAGCATATGATCAATTATAATTATTATGGTTTTTACAAAAATTGGATATTGTTGATTACAAAACATAGTTATCATGGTTATGTAATATGGGTATGGATCAATACCTATTAATACCATTTTTAGGGGAATGAACATCCATTTACCAGCTATTTTGATCTTCACCAGGGGTACAAGGTTTTGACACACTGCCATATAAACAACTGCCCATTCTTGGTGGAAAAAGGTGCAATTTTCTCCATCCCCCAGCGCTTACCCCCTAGCGCGGCCTTCAATTTACTTGGACACCGCTGCAGCAAAGGCGAGCGCTGCGCGCGCTCCCATAGGCGCCCTGTCACTTCCGAGACGCGTCCTGGCTTTTCAAAGCTGGGCATTTCATGGTGGAAAAACCCACGGGAAATCATGGAAAACCCCATAGTAAATGGACATTTCCATGGTAAAAATGTGGAAAAATAGTGGAAAATCATGGAAATCATGGGAAAGCCATGGTAAATGATGGAACAAAACCATGTTTTTATGATGGTGTTCCTTTTTTTTTGTGGGAAAATCAACAAAAAACAGATATATCATCGATGGATAGACCTAACGGTTAGTGGACTTTGCAGAAACCCCCTGGGAAGATTATGAGAATGGTCCTATAATCGATTGTCCCTACAAATTCTAATCTGGTTGGTGGTTGAGCCACCCCTCTGAAAAGTATTAGTCAGTTGAGTCAGTTGGGATTATTATTCCCAACATATGGAAAAATAAAAAATGTTCCAAACCACCAACCAGAATTCTAATTACACGCCTTGGTTCATTCGACTCTGTTTTCAGGGCACCACCGGAATGATCCCTGAAGATATGTCGATCTTGGTGAAGTCACCGGGCTGTCAACAAGTTTCAAAACACGTCATCGCAATAACTTAAGTTTGATCATCCCAGATTCTCCACATACATGGAATACATATCAATATTATTCAATATTCAATGTATTGACCCAACAATTCAATTGCCCAGTTATGTCGGTAATTTTTACATCTATACCATACCCATAGGATCCATGTATGCTATATATGGTAACATTTACCATCCATATACCCCAAATGTTAGCATATATACTACTATATACCATACATGGATCCTATGGGATACATAGTGTAGTTGTTGGTTTCCTGGATGGGAAGCAGGTTGCCGCCGTCCTTGGCAGTTCTGCCACTGCTCTTGCGACTGCGCACAGAAGCTTTGCCAGCGCTCTCGCGACTGCCTGGCACAGGAGACTCACAGGAGACTCACAGAGACTCACCAAAGGCGTCATCGTGTTCCATTATGACAAACTGGGAAAGGATGGCAAAATGATGGATACATGATGGAAAATGATGGGACATGATGCGATATGATGGACAATTCATGGAAACAAGATGGACAATTGATGGAAAATGGGCATTCCATTAACCACCAATAAGCAGTAACCACTCATAAAGCTGTCTTCAAAATCTATGGTGGGGTCATGTGCTGGTTGAATCCTATGACATCATCATGGGCCTCACTTCTTCCATGTGTCTGTGTTTCTCCACGAAAAAGTGACGGTTCCTGTTGGATAATAGAGGTACAGTACCTTCCACAAACTCGGATAACGCTTACTTGATAAACAAAAAGGTCAAACCTGAAGATAATGAACATGTGTTTTTAAGACATTTAAAGATCATGAAGGTCTTCGGGGGTGGCTCAGAATTGCCTATTGATTCATGTGTGATTCTTGTAACTGAGATCGTCTACATGTCAAGTACAAAAGCAATGCGTAGTGGTACCCCAAGTACCCGGTGGAAACAATCAGATTTTTTATAAAACCCCCTTGTTTGCAATAAGAATTCCACCATGAAGTGCTTCAAATCTCGATTTTCCATGATTGTCCATACTTCTTTCATGCTCAACTGACTCAGAATGGCCCCAAATAAAATCATGTTTTTTTTCTCCGCCACACCTTCTTTTCATTCTGTCTCACTTTTCACCGAGTCAAGTATTGCAAAACCTGTGCAACATATCTTTTGATGGTAGCAGTGGTAGCAGATCTTTTGACCATACCCCAAGCCTGAAAAAAAATCAACAATTATATGATTCTAACGATGTTTATAGGTTGTTTTCATTTATTTTCCCATTCAAGTCTCTATTTTGTTTAAAGGATTTATCCCCATCCGCCCCATCCCACCATCCCATCCCTGCCTCCGCAGCCGCGCTGCCAGCGTTTCCCTGGGCTCCGCAGCGGCCTCGGCAGGCTCCGCCTCCGCCGCAGGGGCGGCGGAAAGGCCGGCCTCGTGGCCGGCTCCAGCCAGGCCGTTGGAAGGCAACAGGCACTGCATGGCGGTTGGAAAATCGCGATGAAAAAGTATGGATAGTATGGATATAGTCTTAGATATAGTCTTAGATGGAGTCTTGGATGGTCTTAAATAGTCTTAGATGATGTGATGATCTTGGATCTTTCGGATGGATAATGATGGATAGTCTTAGACGGGTGCGGTGTTGAACAGAGACCAAGTTAAGTCAGAATAAAATCCAATGATAAAATATCTGATCGTCTGGTTTTTTTGGGGGTAGAATGGGATTGTTCGATTGTTCAGAATGTGGGAGTGTCAATTTCCTGATCTGAGATCTTGGTTGTTCGCATGGTTTAGTTCTGTTTCTTCGCAGGAGGCTACACCTTTACTATTTTAAAGAACTGCGCAAAGGTGCAAAGACGTCTGATCTTTGGACGTCCGATCGCTGAGGCCAAATAAGCGGTGGTGCGGGGATGAATGGAACATCATATGTTAATGGGAACTGGTTCCAATGAGGTGTGAGTCCGGTACGAGTAATAGATATTAATGGGTATCAATGGCTATTAATGGGATATCTATATGTATATATATATTATTATATATTATGATTATCTATATATAATTATCCACATGTATGTATATATGATTTATGTGTGTATATCTATCCAATATTTCTAGGAGCTTGGTGATGTGGCAAAACCAAATGTCATTTGTTAACTCTTTGGGGATCTCAACGAGATCCCGGCCATTCTATGACCATATGGAAATCTATGGAGCTGGAGCTGGAGATACGCCATATGGATCCATATGGCCATATGTATGTAACATTATGTACCCTCTGGAAAATTAACATAGACCCTGGCAGATAGGGGTTGGAAGACTAGTTTCCATTAAAAATTGGCGATTTTCAGGGTCTATGTTAATTTACTGGAGGGTAACTGGTTTCAACAGTACTTAAGTTACCACCGGCTTACTAACTAGGACGCACAAAGTATGCACTGAATAAAACGACTCTTGGTGTGGTGCCCCTTACTCACCGTCACATACGGTGAGGTCGTTGTGAGGTTGCGCATAATTAGCTTACCATTTCTTAAAATCCCGATCTTTGAGTGATTGCATTAACATCATTTAACAGCCTCATGTAATAGTGTTGAATGGTGACTTTATGGTGATTTTATGGTGATTTTTAGGGTGGGTTAATAGTGTCATCACCAGAATGCTCTACCTCAAAAACAGGAGATGAGCATTGGAGGGATCATCAAAAGCCATCTGGAAGTTTCCAAATGGCTTTCCTAGGTCATCAGGGTACCCCAAGTCATCCAAAATTGGACCATTTTGGTATTGAAACCCATGGTGACCTGAGGAACCCCCTTCTCTTTAAGAAACCCCCATCTTGTTTTTGACGAAATGTGCATCGTTTCCAGGGAATCGCCATTCGGAATCGCCCATCCCTCGTTAGCTTTCCTGTGGATTTTCTCCGATTTTTGCATCGAAAGACACACCCAAAACTAAACCCCAACCCAGCTGGTACCGTGCACAATACAATTTCACAATGCCGAAAAAACAGAAACACAAACATGTGTTTCATAAATATCACAAGCCAAGGAAAATGATCTATAGTGATTCTTGATGATTCCCGTCTTGGAATACGCACAGGCAACTCTATCTGTCACCTCCTTGCGTGCTCCGCCGGCCACAAACCAGGGGAGCCTCGGGCGGAGTTGGTGGATAAGGGATGATAAGGGCCAAAACCATGTGGGTTGGCCTTTGGCCAATTGGGAAACCATAGGAAAAGCATGGAAAAGCCATGGGAATATGCGAAAATCATAGGAACATATGGCAACATCCCCATCAATGGAGATGAAAATAGCTGGGAAAATCATAGGTAAATGCTATAAATGGTGTTTCCAGCCATGGTTGATTGCCGGAGGTTACATTGGCCAAATGATTTTGCTGGTTCTGAAGGCTAAACAAATGCATCCCAAATAGGGGCACCACCAATGTCATAAACGCCAACAACGGAGCTGCCACCAAATAGATCCCCAAATCGAATCTACAAAAAACCTGCAAAAAATGGGGAAAACCATGATTTTCCCATCTATTTTCCCATGAAAATTGCCATTTGGGCATGGTCAAAACCGATGATGATGAAATTCCCATGGGCGAAATCTCGGCGCCAGAGTTGGCCCATTCAGGTACCATTACATAGGCCTGGTAGGTACTCTCCAATTTAGGAACCTGAAATTCCTGAAATGGCCATTGATTTAGAGCGTAAGGTATATGTATATATATATATATATAAATCTCCGGCAAATGTGCTGCATTTGAACAGACTTACCGGTACCTATGCTTACCGACATGCTAATTATGCTTTAGCTCCCAGCCTTTTTTATGCTCCATCCATCCCTTGCAGCTTCGTTGCTCTTCCAGCAAGACCAGTTTCGCCTCAGATCTGGGATTCAATCCACAGATCTTGATATGGGTGAAAACAACCATCAACAGTATCAACAATAATGGGATATAGCAATACTGGGACTTCACCAAAAATAGTAGTTGAATATGAACATGTATGGGATGCAACCAAGAAACATCATGGGATCTGATGGGACAAAGTTTTGTCGCATACAAGGTTTTTTTTGTCGCAGCAAATGTGCAAAACTGCCATGTGGTTGATACGCGATGTTTCAAGCAGCAATCATGGGCGATTAACCAACAATGATGGGAAGACACCCTTAAGAATAATCAGTAATCGAACAATATCGAACATATTTGGGCCAGTTAATAAAGTAATTCAGTCCGTGCCATTCTATAATGCTACCCTCTGGTAAACTGTCACATAACTATGGAAAGATCCACCACGCTATTAATGGGAAAACTCACTATTTCAACTGGGCCATTTTCAATAGCTATTTTGACATAACCAGAGGGTACCATATACCCTCTGGTAATTTAACATAACTATGGAAAATCAGCATTTATAGTGGATTTTCCCATGAAAAATGGTGGAATTTTCCATAGTTATGTTGGTTTACCAGAGGGTAATGCTACCAATGGGCCAACACAAGTTCTTTTACGATCCTTCTGAACGGGCGCCAGGCTGTTGGGATTTCTGCAGCGCTCGATCCCAGGGACGCTCAGCAACTCCAAACGCCAGCGGGTGCAGAGAGAAGCAGTCTGCAGCTGCCTTGGAGTAGCCGAGATCTTGGAGGATCTTAGGGAAATGTAGTCACTAGCCATCATTAATAACTATATTAATATCCATTAATATGATTAATAAATATTAATAACTATTAATATCTAACTATTATATAACATCTATGATCATCTATAACCCAGATGCTCCATGGTGCTGGAATATTTACCTACATTTACCCCCAAAATGGCCCAAATGTAGGCAAATATTCCATACATGGAGCATCTGGGTAACTATTAATATCCATTAATATGATCATCTATATAAAAGTTCTGGAATATCTGGAATGTGAATGACATAATATTAGCCAGAACTATTATAAATTAATAGATATCATAATAGTTATGAATATAATGATGGCTAGTGACTATCTCAAATGATCCCAATATATCCTAACGCAAATGGTTCACAGCCCGATCATTGCTAGTACCCTCTGGTAAACGTTTACATAACTATGGAAAATCACCATTTTTTTAATGGGAAAACTCACTATTTCTATGGCCATGTTCAAGTTCGCAAACTGCAACAAATTACCGGAGGGTATATATGGGTATATTCTACGAAACCCATCAGATGTCAACTCCCATCCGTTCAAAATGGGAAGAGCCCCTACGGATCCCTACAGATGGGCCCCACAGCGTGGTTCCATGCTATTCCCCAGGCTTCCCCTTAAACTCTGGGATGGCATAGGTAATTATAGGTAGTATAGGCCAGGGTATGTTTCTGTTTGATTTGCCACAAGGGATTGTTAGGATGTTTGAGCCTACGGGTGGAAAACCGAACCAGTATTTGATCATGTTTTCAAGAGGGGGGGGTGGTGGGGTGGGCTAGGTTAACAGTAATGGTTTGCAAGAAAGGTTTTCCACCCGTAGGCTTCATCAGCTAAAAGATATTGGTTCATTCACTGTTTGCTCTTTACTCCTCATGGCATGTTTTTGGTGACGGCGCCCCTCGAAGGGGGGTGTTTTGGTGGGTTTTTGGGGGGGGGGTTGGGGGGAGGTGTAATAGCGTCCTGTGGCCTGCGTTGTCAATCACGATTCCGTGCGTTGGCAATGGAGATGGGAGAACACTGGCGCCTGCTTGTTTCAAAAGACTGCCAAAGTCTTGAATGAGACTGTCCAGTCTGGATGACAAGTGCTCTGCATCCTTGGCGATAGAAAAAATGGCGCGCAGAAGTCTGCTAAAACCTGAACAATTGGAGAAAAATACCAAAAAAAAAATACGCTGATTTTGCAAGCTCATGAATGCAGAAACATTGCAAAACGCAAGAAAAAAGCCAAAACACACTGGCACGGCGAATGTCATCAACTGAAATGCGTGCCAAAACCATGCGTTTGGCATCCAATGTCTATCATATGAACGCCAAGAACAGACATAACGTGGGTTCAGTTTCCCACCCGGCGGGATGTTTTAGTAGCCAACAAAAATTGGCAAATAGCGAATTATCTGAAGTTACTGATCTTGAAAGTTAGCACCGATCGTTGGCACGGCTCTTAGGGGTGTTTTCTTGCCCCAAACATAAAGAAAGATGTAATTATAATATCATGGAAGCCAACCACCTAGCGATCTAGTGGCTATCTGGATGCTTTGACACCACCAGTCATGTCTCACCGAGAAATGTTGACCGAATGTGGCGTACGTCCAACATTATCAAACACCACTGATTTTTGTGTTACCAAATTCAATGAACAATAAGGAACCATGGCCAACCTTTCATGCTGCTCGAACAAGTTCCTTCGTTGGTGGGAGACAAACACACCATTTGTACCTACAAATATGCAAAGACTACATTCTGGAAACTCTCACCGGGAGTCCCAAAACACTTTGTGGAACATGATTGTCCTTGGAAATTGACATTGTAGGGTTCCATCTTAGTTTTCAAGCAAGTGCAGTAATTGGAAAAAAAACATATATATATATATACCACGGATGGACGCAGAAACCTATGTATCAAACCTGCACCCGCCGCTGCTTGATTTGTTCCTTTTCAGCAGGCGCAAAGGGTAGTCAGAAGCCTGATGGCCAAATGCTCACGGGAAAAATGTGGGGAAATGGATTTGTCTAAAATAGGTATACCCAAAACATTGCATAGAATTGCTATCTTGCTGCTTTTCCAATGATATATTGATGACTAACCATGAAATTTAGGGTCCTCCTATATCTGTACAAACCTATATAAGATTATATAAATTTGCTGTGATTTATGGCATCGCGAAGGGAGTACTCAAAAGTCAAACAATGGGAAACATCCCACGTGATTCAGTCAAACAATTTTTGCAACAGGACGGGTTCTAAGCGACAGATTGTTCCTCGATACACGCTGACAGTGACGTATGTGCATATTGTGCTTATGTAGTTGTATGTGTATGTATGCATGTGTTCAAACATACGCGTCACGGATGATGAAATATACTTAAGATTTGATGATACAGCCATAATGTATAGCCGCTATCCTAAATACAGTATATATCTATAAATATCTAAATATACCATCAACAAAATCATGTAGAAATGTATAGCCACATATACAGCAGCCAATGAAAGATAGGGTAACCGGATACATCTTTCAGTTCCTTCCGCGGGTATGGGATTCGACGCCCCAGGACTCGACCATCGGACAGTCATGGGATTATACCATCGAAAAGATAGAAATAAGGTGGAATCCTGTTACTCTTTTTGATTCTTTTTGGACGTTGTTAACAACATATTACAAATCATAAGGACCAAAGGAACATCATAATATTATATATATATATATGTATTATTGTATGTTATAAAAACATATTCGATATCTATTGCTGTTTTTCACAAAAGAAAACGGGGGATCTCATCCAACAAGGCCCCCACATTAGTGGCACTGCATCGCCGAAAGCAGTGCCGCTGCTGGATCATAACTCCAGCTGCTGGGATTGGAATCCGACCTGCCCGTGGCATCTGGAGGTCCCCATCCCAAATTGTGCTAGGTATGCCAGGTGGATGTTCATTTCAGGATAGAAAATCCATACCCTCTGGTAAACTAACATTTTGCTATTGAAAATTGCCATAGAAATAGTGGATTTTCCCATGAACAATGGTGATTTTCCAGTTCGCTATGTTAAATTACCAGAGGGTAAACAAATCCAAGATTGCTTTAAGTATGTTTAGGGGAATCCGTAGGACCCAACCCCCCATATTTATCCATAAAAACCAGGGCTTCCTGCAGGCAACTCGCTAAGGATGGGGCGAGTTGCCAAATCCGTGGGGCACGGTGCCACTATGATACAAACATGTCTGCTACTTTAACGTAGCTATAGAAAATCATCATTTGTTTTTGGACAAATCATCTATAAATGGAAGTTCCCTAAAATGATGGTACCCCTAAATCATCCATTTTAAAGTAGGATTTCTCCATATATAAAACCGTCCAGCAATTGGGGTATCCACCATTTATGGAAATCGCTACAACCCTCCGGTAAATTCCCAGTTCGACCCTGAAAATCACCCATTTTGAGTGGAAAGCAATCTTCCAACCCCGACCAATAGATATAAATGGCAGGGTCTATTTATGCTAATTTACTGGAGGGTAACCATAGTACGTGATAAACATATAACATCATCGAGTTCCATTCAAATCGATGTCAATTGATAGTCCAAAATAGATATGATATAATCGTCCGAATGTGCCAGCTGATATAGTCGAAATCATATCTTGCTCTGACCCTTACTTCTACCCCCTTCCAGTTCCATGGCAAGCCTTTTCCGACCCCTTGACAACTCGCATGGAGATGGATCCCATCAAGAAGGTCAAGAGTGTCAAGGCGTTGGCGTCACGTTCTGGGTCACTCAACTTAGTTTTGAAATTTTGAGCGCCTTTTTTTCTACAAAATGGAGAGGACGCCGCAACAGAATATGATTCGATGTGATCCCTGAAGCGATCAGAAACATAGGAAAAGAATCTGGTCGAACCATCACAAGGGGAACAAATAAGCAACTGCAGCAACAAAGTCAATAAACATAAAGGAGGTTGACCAAATTGACCACCTAAACCGGGGATCTGAAATGATCTGAATGAAACGTCTTTCAGGATGTCAAGAATTTGGCCCAACGATTGGCTTCAAATCATTTGGTGATTTAAAACAGAAACGCCAGAAACATCGGCTGATGTTTCAAACCACGATGATTCGCCGCCAGTTTCAGAAACTGCTTCATCATGAAAATGGCCAGTGACCCCGCAGAAATAGTAGCAGTGTATAGAATTGTGACCATTCAACATCAAAATAACATGCTTTTGGATTTTTCAGGTGAATATTTTTCTATGTGTGGATGTGTGGAACTAAAGTTTGGCCATCCTACATGTCACCCGCCAACTTTCTTGTGGAACCGCCAACGCCATCTTCTCGCAGCCACACTCTTGCAGGGCCTCTGCATTATCTCCTTGCTTTGCAACGTTGCGTCTCTCTCAAAATACACTGGGGGAGCGCCAGTGGAAAGACCTCCAGGTCGAGTTTTCTCCAGAAATACTTCGTCCGCTTGAAAAGGAGGCAAGTGACTGGTGCTATTCCTGATCAGGAGAAAAATATGAAAGAGAAATGGAATCAACTTGAACATTTTTGAACAATGTGGTACACCCAGTTCAATGGCTGGTAAGAAACAATCCCCATTTGCTCCCCTTGCACAGATTAAACATGGGACTTCCGCATCTGGATCATGCCACTAAACTCAACTGGATGGATACCCAACCGATGGAGGGTAAGTCACAAGCGCGCCCCAAAAGGAACGGACAACCTGCACTTGCCGTTGCTGCACGAGTTCCCCTTGAGGGATGCGGCCGCCCTGCACTGAACCGACATCGAAGACATCGAATTTGCGGCAGCCGTGCTCCGAGCCGGCGCACCGGCGAATTCGATCTATAAATTCGTGTGGTACCAACTGTCCCAAGCCGATGAATCCATGCGAATGATGGTGGAACCCCAAGTTAATTAATTGCTATTTTGGTATTTGGAACAAACTCTCATGCATCTTCTATGATCAAATCACATCAATTCGCGAAAATCTATATCAGGTGCCTGGACCAATATCAGCATTCTAATTAATTTTGTTCAAGACATCTTGCAGCGTTTCAACAGATTGGACCATTTCCTGCTCCAAAATTGCTGGTTTTGAATGGTTTTGAGACAGTTTGCTTGGTACAAAACTGGGCGGACAGGTGCCGCAAACAGGCCTGGCAAGAGCGACACACCCCCATTCCACGACATGCAAGGAGGGGAGCGACGCGAAAAAATGCCCAAAAGCCAAAAAATCGCCCGGCCGGCGCAGGAAAATTCGAATCACACCCCAAATTTCCCTTTCACATCCTTTCACCACATTTGTTCAACCAACCAGCTGCAAAAATCCGGTACCCAGCTTCTCATCACCTTTTTGGCCACGCCGGAGAGCACCATGGCACCATGGTACCGGCAGAGCTGTGCCGGATCGGGCCAAAACTCAGTCATCGTCAACGATGCTGACACCGAGGCCCGTTAGGCCCGTCATGCAGCTGGAGGATTCATCATGGTTGCTGCCGCTGCCCACGCTGCCCCGGCTCACGCGGTGGTTCTGGCGGGGACGAAACATCAACAACTGGAAAGATGATGTGCTAGTTTTAAATATATGTGCATCTTATCCTAAACACTACTCTATATATATATATTTGTATAGGTATACGGTATATGTATATTGTGGATATTTATAAATTAATAAGTAATGAATGCGCATATACATATATATATATATATATGTGTGTAATTAGAATGTTATATATATATATATGTCTATAGCCCAACCAAGTGGTTCTGAACATTTGCTATAACCATGGGCTTAAAATGGATTAACAATATTTTTCAGAATCAAAGTTGCCTCGTCGTGGGTTGCTAAGGGCTCTTCATCATCGTATGGTGATGATGCCAGTGGTGATAAAGGCCGGTTTACCCTAAAATCTGGTGTCTTATCATAACTGGTTGGTGGTATACCTACCCCTCTGAAAAATATAAAGTCAGTTGGGTTATTATTCCCAATATATGAAAAAATGTTCCAAACCACCAACCAGGCTATTTTAAATATAGGAATATATCCCATTGGCACACACCAAAAAAGCGGGGGTCATCCATCTGCTACCCTCTGGCAATGAAACATTACAATAGTGGACACACTTGTGGTATTCCAAAATGGGTTCTGAAAGCCATACCACTATTATGCTCCATGTATGAAATATATACCAACATGTGCCCGAACAAATCACCCAGTTTTGTAGCTAGCATATGGGATAGGGTACATCGGGGTACGTGTACATGTTGAAACTTACCAAACCATTGGTACCCTAATCTGTGGGTTTGATGTTCTATTCCCAGCGACTACCAACAGATTGAATTCGATTTCCTGTTGGTTGACGAGAAACTCCACATGTTGTGAAATACCCCCTGGTAAACTGTCACATAACTATGGAAAATCACCATGCTATTAATGGGTAAATCCACTGTTTCTATGGCCATTTTCAATAGCTATTTTGACATAACCAGAGGGTAACTGAAATAACGATAGTATATTGAGCTCGTGACATCCCGACATCCCCAGGTTGGCTGGTGAGATTTACAGGGCCCCTATGGCCCTATGGCTTTCAAAGGGGGCCCCCATGATGCCATGCTCGCGCGCGGGTAGCCTTGCTACGGGACTTGAGGATCTTCATTAATTTCTTCTCTAAGTGCGCCAGCTTGTCTTCATCCTGGTCAGGTTGGAATGGTGGATCCTGGATACAGCTTGGAATTTCCCTCCACTGTGCCAAATTTCTAGGGGAAATTTGAACTCCCCCGAAATGCCGATGTTTTCGAGGTCCAAATGGTGAAAATCATGTAGGTACGTAGTTTGAGCGGGGAAACCCCAGTTGAACATCGTGAATTTCAATTGAAGATTCTCCTTCCCCGTACCATTCATGTATTGCATGATGCCCTTTGGTAATCAAAAATAGCAAAGGGAAATTCCGTATATATATATATATAGATGACAGTTTTAATCCAACAATCATCTATAAATGGGGCCTTTTCCATTGTCATGTTTGATTGCCGGAGGGAATATAGCATATGTAGTCATTTAAATGTATATCTTTGATTTTTTCAGCAAATATGCCAACGTTTGGGATCGATAATAATGATAATTAATAAGCCATGTTAACTGATCAAGCACAATACGGAGCTGTCAAGTTCTAACTAATCATCCCAAGTAATTTAAGGGCAAGAACCACACCACAATGTGTCAAAAAACTACACCCCTCCAATTGGTGGAAATCCTTGAAGTATGGACGATTGCACCAATATGGTCTATCCAAATTAGTCTCACTGTACTTATCCATGTCCTATCATCATCCGCAAAAAATACCCGTAATTCTGGATACGATTTTGGGATATTTTGAGATGGTTCCAGTCCAATTGCCATCCTTTAAGTCGTGACGTCGCAGGATCCAAGTGTCTCAATATGTTCATTGCATATGCCAACAAAAACGGTGAGTTCACGTTACGTGCATATCCCATTCTCTCCCATCATAATCAGATATGTTCCATGTAAGTGCGAAGGTAGGAAAGTTGCTTAGCTACCCGGCCTGGTAAACGTTAACAAAAAACTATGGAAAGATCCACCATTTTTCATGGGAAAAATCACTATTTCTATGGTGATTTTCAATAGCTATATTAAATTACCAGAGGGTATATCCCGTTATACCAGATTAATTCATCATTCTTAGCCAGCAATATCCCATCGTTACATTTCAACTTGTTATCACCCCATCTGACCATAGTAAGTCATAAGGACCATAAACCACCCCAGATGTCCTACTACCAACTTTCCCATCGTTTGGCGGCAAGAGACATTACAACTTGTCTGAACCATTGCATATAGAAAACCCATGGCTTGTTAATAGCCCATAACATATTAACCATTAAAAATCGTAGAATTCATCAGTTTTCTTAGGATAACCATGAGTTTTTCCATGGGTTGTCCCATGGGATTTCTATGGATTTCCCGTAAGGCTCGCCTCGCCTCCTCTGTGGAATGCTCGCGGGGCCAGGGGGCTGAAGGTGCCGATGGGCCACCGAAACGCTTGATGCTGTCCTCCGATTGAGAATGCTTAGTGGGGATGTATGGATTGATGACAATGGATTACCAGTTTAATTGTGGTTGATGGTGATTAATAGTGAATTAATGCTGATTGATGGTGGTTATGAATGGCTAATAGTGAATTAAATGGTGATTACCCTTGGGTAAACATACAAAAAGCTATTGAAAATTGCCATTGAAATAGTTAATTTACCCATTAACAGCATGGTGATTGTCCATAGTTATGTTAGTTTACCAGAGGGTAATATGAATGGATAAATATTGGAATATTATGGATGTAGAATATATGGATTATATGCCATTTATAATATGGATTAACATATGGCATATACATGGATGGATGTAGAATGATGTAAACTACTAACTTTAGTTGTGTAACATAGTGTAAGTGTTAAAATGGCTATAACTGGCATAGGGATATGTATGGGATACAACTGTTAGTGCAGCTAATTTTTGGTTCATTTAATAACACCAGTCGGGCGTTGGCTGCAGACCTGTTGTGCTGTGTCACTTCCTAATCTAATATGGTATATTTGGATACAGCCATAACCCATAGCTATCAACTATTATTGATATACAGCAACTATATTAACGTTGAATAACCATGGATAAACATATTTCGAATGACTGATTTCATAATATTTCATATGGTATAGCAATGGGATTTTAATTAATGGCGTTAAATGGCTATTGGGATACAACTATCCATGGGGAAAAACGGAACAACCATAAATCGGGATAGAACTGGTGATTTGGGCAGGAAAAAGGGAACTTTTAAGATGCCTTCTTTTGCTCAATTCCGGACTATCTGAAAGACTCTGAAACTGTTTTTTGAAGTTGTTTGAAGCATTCAAATTCAAATGTTCCGGATATTTTCCAGCCCTCCTATTTTTGAAGAACAAGAGGATCTCAGGACTGCGTCAACAGGTGCGAGGGCGCCGTAGCCTGCTTTCCTTCTAGAAACAGTTAAGTGATATCAATCGCCAATTCAATCCACCACTGGTTGGTGGTATACCTACCCCTCTGAAAAATATTAGTCAGGTCAGATTGGATCAATTGTCCCAACTATTGGGGGAAAAAAAAATATTAAAAGATGTTCCAAACCATCAACCAGACCATGGTTGGGATTTCATTCCTATGCCGCCAACATCGACCGCCGTTCGTCGTGACCGGTCGAAGTGTTGGATGGGTCTCATGACATCCCCTGGTTGATTTGACACCGAGAACGCTGTGAACCTTGGGCCTAAAAATGTTTCCATCACAAAATAGAGGAAAACTAAATCCACCCAGATCTAATCCAACCTACCCTCTGGTAAACATTAAAACTATGGAAAATCACCATGTTGAATAGGTAAAGTCAGGTATATCATCTATTTCTATGGCCTGTCCATAGCAACCCATCAAAAAATCCCAAAACCTCGGTGACAACGTGGTCACTGCTGGGCTCCAAGACCTGGTGAAGCCATGGGATTTTTCGAGGGTGTTTTTGGGAAGAAAAACTGATTATCAAAGGATTATCAGGAATCCATCTTTGGTTTCAACCATGATATCATATGATTATGTGTTTTTGGGAAGAATTTGATGATCTTTGATTATCATATGGGAACCATCTACAAATATGATTATATATATATATATAAAGAAATTGATGGTTGAAAAAACCATTTAAGATGATCATTGATTATCATATGGCTATGAGTCAAAACCTTGGTACTACCAAGTGAACCCCAAATAAATCCAAATAACTGGTAAATGGATGTTCATCCCCCCAAATATAGCAAGATTGGTTTTGATACATCCCCATATACATTTTTGGTTTCAACCATCTACATATGATTATATATATGATTATCCATTTAAAGAATTTGATGGTTGAAACCATCTGATAATCATTGATGTAGACTATGAATGACTATGAATTTGAATCGTCTTATGGGATATAATATTACCATCCTAATTTCCATTATAATAGTAAGAGATACTGTGGATAGAAGAAATCCTGCATCACCAAAAGGATGGTTCAAACCCTATAAATCATGGGATGTTTACCACCGTTTTCAACTGGTGCAGGATTTCGCAGCCATCCACCGTATGGAGATTTGATGGATTTTCATGGGATTTTCCATGTTTCGATGTCAGTTTCTGAAGGATACCCAGGTTTATGAAGAACTTCACTGCAGATGGCAAGCCCTTGGCCCCAAGGCAACTCGTGCCACTACTGGTGTACGGTGTTCCCAACTCGTGCCACTACTGGTCATTCATGACTGGTTGGTGGTATACCTACCCCTCTGAAAAATGATGGAGTTCGTCAGTTGGGATGATCCTTCCCAATATATGGAAAAATAAAAAGTGTTCCAAACCACCAACCAGCTGGTCATTCCTGAAATGTCCAATGATTTTCCAACCACTACAGCTTCGAAGCCACACCAAAACCCACCGCACCTGGATACCACCAGGAATTCCCACATCGCCTTCGTTGAATTCCAAGGGCTCCTGAGATCTCCACCATACCCAGTTCGGATCCCAAAACATTGAGAGATTTACCAACAAAAATGGGAAGACTTGGTACTACCATTACCAGCAAAAACTGAAGGCTCGTCTTCCCATGCTGGTGAATAGACAACTATGTTGCCCCAGTATATATATATATATACGACTTTGTCCAAATTTTGTTGGTGAAATCTTATCTTCCATGCTTGAATCATTTCGTATGTGTAAAACTCCAATTTTCTTCCATATATGTTTTGATTCATTGGTTAATATCTCATTTTTTTATTGTCATAGGTGAAACTTCCATCTTTGTAGTGTAGATCTTGATTGTGTCCTTTTGGTTGGTGAGATGTCCATTTCTGTTGGTCACAAACCACCATGTTTTCCAAGTCTTCTAGTGTTCAACGGTCTTCAGCTCCCATTTTCGTTGATTGTGGGTTAAATATCAATGTTCTCCAAGTTTTATCGCTCAAACCTCCATTTTCCCCATTTCTGGGTTAAGAACTCCCCATTGTTTCACAGTGTGCTATACAAAATTTACCTTATCTCCAAGTTTGGTGAAACTTCCATCCCCATCCCCTGCCCTTCCTCCAGCCCCAGCGTTGCCAGAAAATTCTGGCGCCGCAGCTTTCGAATGTCTTTCAGCGTGGCACAGGTAATGCCGGCGCGCTTCAGACGGGCGAAGCCCTGAACCATGGAGGATGGCGCTGGGGTCAGGCTGAAGGGTTTTGAAAAAGGTGAGGTATCCGCGTTTACAATAGCTTCGTTGTTATAACTTGGTGAATTCTATGGTTTATGGGAGATATAAACTATTGTCGTTGTATGCATGTATGAATTATGAACACACACACGCACACACATATGTATGTATATATACAATTATATATACATATATATATATACATATGTATATTGTATATGGTTAACCTCTGGTAATCTAACGTAGCTACAGGAAATGGCTATGTTTGATAGGAATATAGGAGTTATATGGAGTTATATGGAGTTATATGGAGTTATATGGAGTTATATGGAGTTATATGGAGTCATATGGAGTCATATGGAGTTATATGGAGTTATATGGAGTTATATGGAGTTATATGGAGTTATATGGAGTTATATGGAGTTATATGGAGTTATATGGAGTTATATGGAGTTATATGGAGTTATATGGAGTTATATGGAGTTATATGGAGTTATATGGAGTTATGTGGAGTTATATGGAGTTATATGGAGTTATGTGGAGTTATATGGAGTTATATGGAGTTATGTGGAGTTATATGGAGTTATATGGAGTTATATGGAGTTATATGGAGTTATATGGAGTTATGTGGAGTTATGTGGAGTTATGTGGAGTTATGTGGAGTTATATGGAGTTATATGGAGTTATATGGAGTTATATGGAGTTATGTGGAGTTATGTGGAGTTATATGGAGTTATATGGAGTTATAGTTATATGGAGTTATATGGAGTTATATGGAGTTATGTGGAGTTATAGTGGAGTTATATGGAGTTATATGGAGTTATATGGAGTTATATGGAGTTATGTGGAGTTATATGGAGTTATATGGAGTTATATGGAGTTATATGGAGTTATATGGAGTTATATGGAGTTACATGAAGTTATATGGAGTTATATGGTTATGCTGGAGTTATGGAGTTATGTGGAGTTATATGGAGTTATATGGAGTTATATGGAGTTATATGGAGTTATGTGGAGTTATATGGAGTTATATGGAGTTATATGGAGTTATATGGAGTTATGTGGAGTTATATGGAGTTATATGGAGTTATATGGAATTATATGGAGTTATATGGAGTTATATGGAGTTATATGGAGTTATGTGGAGTTATGTGGAGTTATATGGAGTTATATGGAGTTATATGGAGTTATATGGAGTTATATGGAGTTACATGGAGTTATATGGAGTTATATGGAGCTATATGGAGCTATATGGAGTTATATGGAGTTATGTGGAGTTATATGGAGTTATATGGAGTTATATGGAGTTATGTGGAGTTATGTGGAGTTATGTGGAGTTATATGGAGTTATGTGGAGTTATATGGAGTTACATGGGGTTATATGGGGTTATATGGAGTTATATGGAGTTATATGGAGTTATATGGAGTTATATTGGAGTTATATGGAGTTATATGGAGTTATATGGAGTTATATGGAGTTATATGGAGTTATATGGAGTTATATGGAGTTATATGGAGTTATATGGAGTTACATGGAGTTATATGGAGTTATATGGAGCTATATGGAGTTATGTGGAGTTATGTGGAGTTATATGGAGTTATATGGAGTTATATGGAGTTATGTGGAGTTATGTGGAGTTATATGGGGTTATATGGAGTTATATGGAGTTATATGGAGTTATATGGAGTTATGTGGAGTTATATGGAGTTATATGGAGTTATATGGAATTATATGGAGTTATATGGAATTATATGGAGTTATATGGAGTTATATGGAGTTATATGGAGTTATGTGGAGTTATGTGGAGTTATATGGAGTTATGTGGAGTTATATGGAGTTATATGGAGTTATATGGAGTTATATGGAGTTATATGGAGTTATATGGAGTTATATGGAGTTATGTGGAGTTATATGGAGTTATATGGAGTTATATGGTATGGAGTTATGTGGAGTTATATGGAGTTATATGGAGTTATATGGAGTTATGTGGAGTTATTTGGAGTTATTTGGAGTTATATGGAGTTATATGGAGTTATGTGGAGTTATATGGAGTTATATGGAGTTATGTGGAGTTATGTGGAGTTATGTGGAGTTATATGGAGTTATATGGAGTTATATGGAGTTATATGGAGTTATATGGAGTTATATGGAGTTATATGGAGTCATATGGAGTCATATGGAGTTATATGGAGTTATATGGAGTTATATGGAGTTATATGGAGTTATATGGAGTTATATGGAGTTATATGGAGTTATATGGAGTTATATGGAGTTATATGGAGTTATATGGAGTTTTATGGAGTTATATGGAGTTATGTGGAGTTATATGGAGTTATATGGAGTTATATGGAGTTATATGGAGTTACGTGGAGTTACGTGGAGTTATATGGAGTTATATGGAGTTATATGGAGTTATATCGAGTTATGTGGAGTTATGTGGAGTTATGTGGAGTTATGTGGAGTTATGTGGAGTTATATGGAGTTATATGGAGTTATATGGAGTTATATGGAGTTATATGGAGGTTATATGGGAGTGATTGGAGTTATTGTGGAGGATATGGAGTATAGTGGCGTTATATGGTATGGAGTATGTGGAGTTATATGGAGTTATATGGAGTTAATGGAGTTATGTGAGTTATATGGAGTTATGTGGAGTTATATGGAGTTATATGGAGTTATGTGGAGTTATATGGAGTTATATGGAGTTATATGGAGTTATATGGAGTTATATGGAGTTATATGGAGTTATATGGAGTTATATGGAGTTATATGGAGTTATATGGAGTTATATGGAGTTATATGGAGTTATATGGAGTTATATGGAGTTATATGGAGTTATGTGGACTTATATGGACTTATATGGGTCAAAAGCCTGGTACTACCAAGCCTCATAGCTGGTGCTGGATGGTTCCTTCAGTTACTCCTCTCATATGGTGGGCCCTTTTCCGGTTTTTTCGGGGATCCTTGGGGCCAAGTTTTTGCAGGGATCCGTGATTGAAAATGGGCCATAAAATGGATCTAAAAATGAGAAGTTGACTAAGTTGACCATGGATCTTTAGCAGGATTTCCATGGTGAAGGGGATGAATTCATGGATTTTTTTAGAAGACTTCACCACAAAAGAAACAGTTGCTGTTGATTTATAAGTGATGAAGGGTGATTTCATGTGATTTTATGATGGTAAAATATGGTCAATGCATGACTAATGGATTGCTGATAGATTGCCAATGGATTGCTGATGGGGTTTCACGGATATTTTTCTGGGATTTCATGAGCAGAAACCATAGTGTTTCTGGTCCAACGATGTTTGCTGCGGATAGTATGGAAAAGGATGGGTGGATTTTTTCTGAAGCAAAAAAGAAGGGGATTGAATGCGCAAACATACGAGTTTTGCCGGGCACAATGATCCTGTATTTTTGGTCGTTCAATTTCTTTGTTCGTTTCGCTGCTTGCATTCCTATTCTTTCTCATCCAAATGCCCTCTGCGTGCTTCTATTATGGGAAAAAACTCGAACTCAAGCTAAACTTCAAACGTCCTGGAATGAAAAAGGTTTATACCAGAAAACCACCAAAACCAAAGTACAAACAATGCCAACCCCGAATGAAATAAACTCTTGCTGATTAAGAATCTTCATGAATCTTCAGTTACCCAAATATGGAGATCATCTACTGAAATGACATCCCCAACTGTTCACAGCCCAGGAGATTTCACAGCCCATCTGGGGACATTCTTTGCGGGATGGTACCCCATTTTTTCATCCAAAATCGATCATGGTCGATCATCAATTGCTGGGCAAATAAAGCATGTTCAACACGATTTGAACGCTATCATATCAACTTGGTCAGTGATATTTCATCTCATATCCGATAGAAATATCCCATGTAACACATCCCCACGTTGATGAACTCCTCGAACTTCGGGCGCCTTCATGTTGATGTGGGCCTCGTGATAGGTGTGCACCAGCTGCACCAGCAGGAGATTGGCCAAGAACAGGGTCATGGTGAAGCCAAAGGTGCACCTGGAAACCGCGAGGCGGTACGGCGGCTAGGGCCAGCAGGCTGAGGCAAGTGTGGATCTTCGGACCAACGGAAAGAACAAACGAAAAAAATGAGGAAAAAACCCATGGTTTTTTGCTGTGGAAACCCGTGTTTTGTTGATGAAATTTCCAAGTTGACTTGGCCAAAATAATTTCCAATCTAGTTCTCCCCGTCATCTTCACTTAGTACGTCAAAGCTCAGGCAGTTGGTGATATCACCATCATGGATGATCAAATGTGATGGTGACGACTGCCGCAAAGTTAAAATCACCAAATTATTATGGTGCTATTTGTTGCTTAAATTTCACATATGTTTCCCAGAATCCCCCTATGTAGGAAGTTGAATGTGACTAATCCTGTTTTAAGATTTTACAATCTGAATGTTCCATGTTTTAAGGTTTACATAATCTTACTTCACCCACATCACGCAGCCGAAATCCCCAATCCCAGGGCACATGAGCACCGACACCACCAGGGAGATCTCCTTGATGCCTTCGAAGTGCTCGGCAGGGAACATCCTTCGCCGTCGCCAGGCGGCGCCCCGGAAATTTCGTGAGGATCAAAGGGGACCATGGGGAGATGATGATGGGGAAAATGGTGGAAAAATATGAAAAATAGTTGGAAAATGTTGAGAAATATTGGGAATTGATGGGGAAATCTTGGGACATGTTAGGACTTGATCCATATTGGGAATACGTGCGTGGAAGTGCAGTTGTAGTCAAAGAAATTGTTAAGTTGGGAATTGGGCCCCTGTAACTATGCTAGCTATATATCCACTCACTTTTTCACTGCACCCGCAAATGGGGGATAACCATCAGGCAAACTTTGCTTGCTTTCCTGCGAAGTTCCATCCAGATCACTTCATGGTTACCCGGTAAACAGATGGACCTCAGCAACTAAAGCCCAGATTTCAGCAGCAGGGATTGTCACCAAAACTGGAGATTTACCAGCACAGAAGTGGCCAAAAAAACGGTCTGATTCTGCTTGATACTGGGTAGCATGAATTAGCATGATACAATCAAAAGGAACCGGGGATGTTTACGTCACAATCTGATTCCACGATCGGAAAAATCGGAAAAATCCAGCAGTGATGAAATCGGGACCACCTCAAGGCCATCAAGGTCAAATCTTCGATCCAGCCCACGACCGTCTGCTCAGGCATGTGGCTGTACCTCACTGTGTCATGCTGAAAAAAATGCCCATTTGAGAAAGTGATTCTATGGATTCTATGGTATGCTCTATGTTTCACACCTAGCCTTAGCTGTATATAGAGCTAGTTTCCCCAGATCTTGCCGTTGATTTCAATGATTTGCCTATGACTGTCTTGATGCTCATGATTTTTCAATTTGTTCATCCAAATTTCCCCACATCTTCATTGATTCTCCATTTTTCCATAAGTTTTTCCCATGTTTTCCCAGATCTTCATATGTTTTCCGCAGATTTTCCCGTGGGGTTTTGGTCCTCCAGCCCCCCCCAACCAGGCCAGGACGCAGGGATCCAATGCTGCAGGAGAAGGCGACTGTCACGAAGACCAAGGCCAACAAAAAGAGGGAAAGATCTCCCACCAGGTTGCCCCAGACCAAGACCTGGTGGTCAAGTGGAATTTAAGGGGAATTTACCCTCCAAAAAAATGATGAAATTGGGGGAATGGACCCAAAAAAAAAATCGGGAATTGACCAAGATCTAAGGGAAAATTTTGGAGAAATTGTGGGAAATGATCCTATAAACATGATGATTTTACCAACAAAAATGATGACTTCACTGAAAATGTTGGATTTAACCAAAACACATGAAGCTTTAATCAAGAGCGGAGGCCAAACAAAAATAATGAAGAAATTTCACCATGAAAGCCGGGATTTCAACAGCCAACAGGGAACACAAGTTGCTTGAGGAGATAGTGAGTTTTGCCGAACAATACGTTTTCTATATGCTATGATTGCAGTATACATAAAGGTATGACCCAGTGACTTGTATGCTCTGTGCATACAACTATACACATGCACACAAATAGATATTATATAGATATAGATATATAGATATAGATATAGATATAAATATATCCATAGAAGTGTGACAAACTGACCTCCAAACTGCCAGTGTTGTTTGTTGTTTTTCTTTTTTGGTCGGGCGCCGGACATAGGCCAAGATCTTCATACTGAAAATCGCCAGGTCCTGAGTGTGGCGGCGCCGGCACCATACTTCCAGTGTACCCTCCAACGACTCATGGGATATTTCATGGTTTGATAATGGTTAATGGGAGAATGATTAATGGTTAATAATGGGATATTTCATGGATTAATCATTATGATTATAATGATTTAATGTGATGGGATTACAATGATTATACTAGCTTAATAATGGTTAATAGTGGGATACCCTCTTGGTAAACTAACATAACTATGGAAATTGGCCCATTTATAGTTGATCTACCTATTATAAATTCTGATTTTCCATAGCTATGTTAGTTTACCAGAGGGTATCTCATGGGACATCCCACGGTGTCATCATTGCCCAAGGAACCAACAGCTGCGCCCAAAACAAGATCATCGCCAGAAAGGCACCTGAGCAACGCTGAGCCAAGGAAAACAATCCCAGGCAGTAAATATCTGAAACCACCGAGATGTAAATCGAGATATCCTATATCCACATTTCAAAAAATATCTATATAAATATATAAATTTATATATACATAGATTTTTATATACATGCATGTATATGCATATGTATGTATATATAATATATATATATATATATATGTGTGTGTGTGTGTGTGCGCGTATGTATATACACGCCAAATATACTATAGCCAACACATGAAAGTGCCTAGACCTAGACCATCCTTAACCCCATAATGCCGAAACGTACCAGCAAAATGGGGCAACATGGCGATTTTGATGGCTGCAAAGATGGTTTAGGTACAGTAGTTGCGACTATAAAGTTGGTGAATTATATTCCGTTTGAAACAATCCCCATTAAGGTGGGTAAAACAATGTCATGTTTACCACCCATGACTGGGAATGGGATTTCCATACCACCTATAAAAGTGATGACTGGTCGATGGTTTATGACATCGTTTTAACATGTTTTACCCACAAAAAATATCCAGTTGTACGTTCTTCTAGGTTCCAACTACAGCTGGTTCGTATCCCATATCATTGAGATATCATATCAAGCTGGTTGTCGTAGCTGTGAACCATATTTATCAAGCCATTTGCCAACCCCCCCCCGAAAAAAAAAAAAAAACGTCATAAAAAGTTGGTTAGTGAGTCTATAATCTCAAATGTTCATGGTTTATGATTACAGTGACCATATAAAACCATGTAAGATATCTAAAACCATATAAAATATAAAACAATAAACTATAGATATATAAACCTATACCCTCCAGTAGACTTACATAGCTATTGAACATTGCCATTTAATTCGCTGATCTACCTCTAAAACATGGTGACTCTCCAGTTCGCAAACTGTTAGCTAGCCAGCGGGCAGCCATTCATATATGGTATAGTTTATATATACTGGTTGGTGGTCTCAGCCCCTCTGAAAAATATGAGTTCGTCAGTTGGCATTATTATTCCCAATATATGTAAAAATAAAACATGTTCCAAACCACCAACCAGTATAGTTATATAGTTATATATATATTTATATATTTGTCACTTTGCTGATGCTGCGTTAGTCAACGCTTGGCCTTGCAAGACATGCTACCGATGAAAGTCGGGTTGTACAATTGACTCTTCGGTATATTCTGTGCAAACTAATTCCTGCATGTCTTTCGGCAGCTCATGCCAGCATGTTTCTAGCTGGCGTCCAAAAACCGAGACACTGCAGTCGCGATGGCTCTGTTCATTGCAGGCGGATATATTTTCGCCTTTGCAGTGGCAAATGATCCATCGCTTTGAATTCCACGCAATGGTTGGTGTCCATCTGGATGGTCGCATCGTCCACGTCGTCCTTTGGTGGCTGTGATGTCATGGAAAGTGCTAAGCCTAAGCAGTAGCAGCGAAGTCGGCTTTGTCGCATTCAATCCATAAATACACTGGTCAAACGAACAGACCTGAGGAAACATTCAAGCCTGGCAAGAGTTCTGATGACCTGCAAGGTCCAGATCGATGCTGGCTTTTTCCGCATCAGCCATATTGGATACTGCGGATGCTCAATGAACCCACATAGCCCAAGTTGTGCTGCTAGTGCAATGAGCTCCACCAGAAACTGAACAAGGTGAGCTCCTGTGCAAACCTGCTTCCATTGCCTTGAAGAAAGACCTGCTATTCCCCATGGCGACTGATGAGATCTCACCGGCGGGGGCCACCTTCTGAAAAGCGAGCTGCTGACCACGTTTCGCAGCTCGGCCCCCCGCCGATGCCAAGTATCTGTCCGCTTTTCATTTTGCCAATCCAAAAGGTTTTGCTGCTCCCATCTGTTAAATCAGAATGTCGTTTCGCTAAACATAGATCTACTGATATACAGAAGATGTGCTTTTCTCCAACCACGTTGTGATTCTCAATGCGGTATTGAAAATCTTCTTTTCGGCGAAACCCGCTGAAAAAATGCACGAATATAAATCCTTTGATGTGCAGTCTAGCTGTCTCAGCAGCTAAGCCGTATTGCTGAGAGACTCCTGCATCACCTTGGACTCTTCCTCCATTTGCCTGCATGAGAAAAGGCACAACCTCATCCTCCTGTTCTGATCTACGCGAGGACAACTCACAATATCCGTCTAAGCCATCAAAGGCTCGACCACTGACTGGTATGCGATTCTGCCATTTGGCTTTCATCGCTGCAGCTCCTTCTGGGTAACATAGGGCCGCACACCCTAGTCATTGGGAGGAATTCCTTGGATAAGTTCCATCCTTGAGACTTCAAAGTTCTGTATGTTTCTCTGTCTTCATCCTCAAGCCTTTGAACTTCTTCTTCCGAAGCTGGTACAAAACATGCAAGATAGGCATTCCTACATGTTACTGAATTGCCGACATGTGCAAGCAGGCGGGTGCGATTGAAGAACTTTTTGCAACACACCAAGCATTCATCACCAAGAACAAAGTACTTGAGCAACGTACGATATTTGTGCCTGTGCCGGGCATGCACTGCAAGAGCTTTCTTGGTTTCAAAGCCCTCTGAGCAGAGGCTACACTTCCAATTCATTTCCTTTGGACGAGAGTCCTTCAACATCAGCATATCTGGAGATCTGAGCCTGTTTTCGAAGCGTCCATAGCTTGCCTTGAGCGCCAGCCTCCTGGAATCTCAAGCAAGCCTTCAATGCAGTCCGAACACGCCCATTCCATTTCTGATCAATCGCAATGAACTGGAGTAGCGATCCAGCGTCCTCAAACGCAGGAGTTGCCCTGGCACCAAGGTGCATCCGCATCCAAGAATATGACTTCATCAGGTGAGGCAGCCATGAGTTTTCGTGCTCATTCGCATGTAGAAAAGACCACAAGGCTGCTGGCGCTGTGCGAATTGCTCTGCTAACATAGCGTAGCCGGCCAGCATGCAAGCACTCACATGGTCCATACCATCCCAATAAAGCACATAGTTCTGCAGTTGTAAACTGAAAGGGAGGAATGGGCCGGATCTTGTTTTTTGCAAGCTTTGAGACCTGTTCTTTGATTCCATTTTCCCAATGCTCCAAATCACCATCTGTGATCCACGCCCAAGTGTGAACATTGTACACGTGTCTTGACATTACCAGAGCTGCAAACACTGAGGCCTTTGTGTGATCATTGACACTTTTCTTTCCATGAAACTGACGACCCAACTGTCCAAAAGCCTTGCGGGCTTGTGAGATTCGGTGCCTCATGTCCTTTTGGACAACTGCATGATCCTGCATAAAGGATCCCAGGTGCTTGTACGAATGTACTATCTGAAGCATTTGGGTACCATGTTCTGTGACAACTGGCAGGCGTCCTCCACATTCATGCCAGACTCTATGTTTCACTGCTCTGGATCCTGTGCCTGCAAGCTTCAGAACTGCCTCGGTTTTTCCTGCCTGATAGTTGATTTTCAAACCACGCACAGCTGCCGCATCGTGTAGCGAAGAGGAGATAACCTGAAGATGCAACACCACTTCATTGGCGTCATCCGAGTGCATTGCATATGCTATGTCATCTACAAAGGAAATCTCTGCAAACCCTTTGCGTGGTATGCACGCAGCACATGAGACGTCAGTGGATGGTCGAGCTGAGCCAAAACATGGAATATTTGCAGACTCCAGTATTCTCTGTCGAGCGTCCAAAACCACCAACTTAAATGCCATGTTGAAAAGAATGTCAGCCACTGGATCACCTGGGCGTGTTCCTCTCATAGTGGCGGTGTCTTCTGCGACACCTTGCATAGAGAAGTGGGTACCTGAGAACATATCTCTGAGAATACCTTCCTGATGTGAATCAATCCCTGCTGTGGCATTGTCTTCTGTGACACTTGTTCGCACCTGATGCCAATCGTCTGGGGTGATTCCAAGGTGTTGCATTGCATAACAAATTGTGTCATCATGGAATTCCCCAGCGAACAAGGACGATCTCAGAACCGAATAGAAGGCTGACTGAAGGTCTACAAACAAAATCGCACACGACGTGTTTGTGGATCGAGCCCACGACAAATGCGCATGCAAGAGATGGTGCGCAACATCAGTGGAGCATCCTTTTTTGCCACCAAACTGAATGAGGTCATCCTCTTGACACCAAACATCTGCAAGCCCTTGCCTCATATTTGCATGATGCACCTTTGCACTTGCATCTGATAGGAATATGGATCTATATGCGGAGGGGTCAGACGGTGACCCTTTTCCCTTGAACAAGGGTACCAACAGTCCACCTTTCCAAGACAGAGGTTCCTGCATATGCCATGATGCTTTCACAAATAGTGGTGTGAGGATCTTGGCCATAGAGATCCCTCCGCTCTTGAGAATATCTACTGGTAATTGCCCTGGCACTGGCACCTTGCCGTTTTTGAACCTGCGTATGATTGAGAGCACTTCATATGGATCAGGGCAGAATCTTGCATCACGTCTGGCTGTAGATTCACCCTGTGCGTGAAGCTGCGCAAGCTGTATGTCAGTGACTTCTACACCTGCTTCGGTCCTTGCAAATTGCTCTTTCCAGATTGCTTGACACTCCTCAAAGGAGTGCGCACATTGGCCATCAGCTTTTCTAAGCCTGGGCAGGGCGCGGCCCTTTGCCAAGGTCTTTCTTTCTTCGACCAAGTCTCTGCAATCTTTTGTAAACCTGGGCGGTGTCATGGCCTGCACTTGCATCATTGATGCTGTCCAGCCAGTCACCATACCATGCTTGCTGATCTTTTAACACCATGGGTCTGATTATTTTCTCAATATTCTTCAATTCCTCATTCAACAACGGGTCAAGAAACTCTTGATTACGGGCCATTCTAGAATCTGCCTTTTCAGGCGAATGCCATCAAGAGTAATTCACTGAGGATTGGTCTTGATTTCTCCTTCTTTTTCTTGCCAAAATGTTGATTGGAATGTTTGTTTCAACAATTTTTGAATGGTCATCTATTGCCATCGAGCAAGAAGGCAAAGGCAAGGATTTCAGGGCTTCCGAAA